TTGTGTCGCAGTTGGGTGCTTTCCTCAATGTGTGTCCTATCCACTTCCAGCGCTTCTTCCTGATTTTATCCTTCGCTGAGATCTGGTTTGTTCTCTCCCACAGGAGGTCGTTATTGATAGTATCTGGCCAACGGATTCGAAGTATTTTGCGTAGGCAACTGTTAATAAACACTTGTATCTTCTGGACGATGGCTTTCGTAGTTCTCCAGGTTTCCGCCCCATACAGTAAAACTCTTGACATTTCTAATGAAAAATCTGACTTGGGTGTTGGTTGATAAATTTTTTGATCTCCAGATGTTCTTCACTTGTAAATATGCTGCTCTTGCTTTGCCGATCCAGGCCTTCACATCTGCATCAGATCCACCATGTTCATCAATGATGCTGCCCAAATATGTAAAGGTTTTTACATCTCCCAATCTTCTCCGTCAAGTGTGATTCGATTGTTGCGTGCTGTGTTGTATCGGAGAATCTTGATTTTCCCTTGAGACCTACTGCTACTACACTCTTCGTCTTCTATATTTGTTGTTACGTTTGCGATAGAAGAGCCAGATTATCTGCGAAATCTAGATCGTCCAACTGCATCCTAGATATCCACTGTATCCGTGCTTCCCTTCAGATTTTGACGTCTTCATGATCCAGTCGATCACCAGAAGAAAGAGAAAGGGTGAGAGTAAGCAACTTTGCCTGACACCGGTCTTTACTTCGAACGAGTCTTTCAATTGTCCTCCATGCACGATTTTGCAGTTTAATCCATGATAGGAATTCTGTATGATGTCGACTATATTCTCAGGCACGCCGTAGTGTCGAAGAAGCTTCCGTAGTGTTGTTCTGTCCACGCTATCAAATGCTTTTTCGTAGTCAATGAAGTTGATGTCGAGTAATGAATTCCACCCAATCGATTGTTCCACAATGACCCATGGAGTTGCGATTTGGTCTGTACATGATAGATCCTTACAGAATCCAGCTTGTTGGTCTTGAAGTTGGGAGTCTATGGAGTCCTTCATTCTGTTTAACAATACCCTGTTGAAGAATTTTCTTGGTATTGACAGGAGAGCGATGCCCGTGTAGTTATCACGGTTGCTGAGATCGCCTGTCCTTGGTATTTTGACCAGAAGTCCTTCTTTCCAGTTTGTTGGTATTTGTTCTTCATCCCAAATCTTGCTGAAGAGAATTCGGAGTATCTTTGCAGTTACTGCTACGTCTGCTTTCAGTGCCTCTGCTGGAATGCTGTCTGGTCCCACTGCTTTGCCTTTCTCGATTTGTCTGATGGCCATGCTGATCTCTCCAATTGTTATTGGGCCAACATTGATTGGGAGGTTCGTGGGTGCTGCTTCGATGTTGGTTGGGTTCAGTGAGGCTGGTCGATTCAAGAGTTTATTGAAGTGTTCTACCCACCTGTTTTGTTGCTCTTCAATGTTGGTGATAACCTTGCCTTCCTAGCTTTTCACTGGTCGCTTCGGTTTACGGTGATTTCCAGAGAGTTTCTTTGTCGTGTCATACAGTTGTCTCATGTTTCCTTCTCTTGCAGACTTTTCCGTCGTCGTTGCTAAGTCTTCTGACGCTCCGCTTCTTGAGTTTCAATTTTATCTTGGCGACCAGCAAGTGATGATCTGATGCTATATCAGCTCCTCTCTTGGTTCTCACTTCCTCCATTGTCCTCCTGAACTTTGTGTTGATGCGGATATGGTCGATTTGGTTCTGCGTAGTGTGATCCGGTGAAGTTCATGTGGCTTTGTGTATGCGTTTGTGTGGGAATATAGTGCCGTCGATGATCAGTCGCCTGAACCACAAGTCTCCAATATTTTCCAAGCTCGTACTCACCTCGGTGTACTGCTTCGGGATAATTAAATCAACTGTCTCTTTTTATTGGAATGAGAATTATCATTGAGTCAACTCACATTTGCATGATCTTGAGAATGAATGAATTAAGACAACTAAGTAGTATACTGTACTTATTCCTTAACGGAGGTCAATTTCAGACACTACTTCGTAATTACTACATGCAATCTGAAAATAGTATTTGTATTGTTCGCTCTCCACATACGGTAATCTGATTCCGGCAATCAGTCAATCCCATGACTGAATCTGAAGTTGGTCTCCTCAATTGCCTTCAACCTCTTGTTTCGGCGATCCGGAAATAAAATTTCTAACCTGTTGCTCGCTCTGATGAACCATTATGAGACATTTTGCTTTTAGGTTTTATATGGGAGTAAAATGGACTTTTCCGTGAACTCCAGATTTCTCAACAGTATGTACATTTTCCTCCTGATGAAAGTAAGAAATGAGCTAGAGTTTTATTACGTTTAAGATTGTTTCTGGTCATACATCAAATTTCAAATCGGTTCATGCAATCGACAAATTCTTTAGCACTTGTATTTATATCCGGTTTTTCAATAACAACTACAATCTCAATGCCACTATATTGTTTCGAAGCTTTGTTTATACATAACTTGGTATGTAAGTCTTGTCGATTGGACGCTATATTCGTTCCTAAGCTATTCTGATAACCCACACGCTAGAACTATACAGCGACCTGAACACCAGAAAGAAGACGCAAAAGTATGAGAGAGACACTTTACTCCAAGGTTCGTTTTTGTACAGAAAACATGGGTATTTATAGATGTTAACGTTTGTTCAATCAACAACATATTTCGGCCAATCCGTTAGCGACATATTATGCTACTGACCAATAGCAGCAGGCCACGTTGGAATTCTAGAATGCCCCATCATGTTCTGATTGTCTAGGACTCTTCGGCTCCTTTTGGGCCTCTAGAGGCTCCGTTGAAGTTCTCCGAAAGCCGACTCAACAGTATGCAAACTAGTTTTCCCTCAGTTGACCAGTCACGTACTATATAATGGTCACGGCTGATACAGAAGTGAAGCCAGAGAATACAGTGAACGCGTTCAAATGTAATAAATATTAGAAGCAGAATTAGCCACGCGACGATGTGCAAGGTAATTGTACAAACACGTCAGTAATACTATTTCATAAGTCTTATTACTGGCTTTGTTTTTTTTGAATTATTCTCTCTTTTTGATACATTTTCTATCATTGATACAATTACTATGTGACTCTTAGCTTGGTAATTTTCTCTTCATGGTCATACCAATTTTTACCGATAGAAATTTGTGCTAAGCTCTAGCCTATTTATAACTGATTGAGTAGTCAGATCTTATGAAATCGCAGAGAAAATTTTTTTCCACTTTACATCATACAATGAATTTTGTCATTTATAATTAGATGACTTATTTGCTAAAATTGATAAAGATGTATATAATATTTTTCCATTTTGAAGATTAGATTTGTTTATCGAATACTTGACTTTATTAGGCAGTAAATTCATAATTAAACAATTTATTTATCTCTATTATAAATCCAGATAATCACGTGATTTTTCTTTTTCTATCTCGGTTACTGAGAATGATTTGAATTGAACAACAATAAACCTCATTAAAATTATAAATTCAAGATAAATTATACTTTTTATTTAATAACCAAATATGAGTTGACCAAGTGTAAAGATAAATGTCCATTGAATAATTATGCGAAAGATATGCATACAAGTGAGTTTTGGAAGGAACAAAAAGCAAGTTAATGAGATGCTCTCTCTCTCTCTCTCTCTCTCTATATATATATATATATATATATATATATATATATATAACATACTAATCATCTTATTCAAATGAATATAGTTAACAGTGAATAGAAAGCTTGTAAATAAGAATGTTGCTATCAAACAAATAAGTTAATATAAAATAAAATAGCCATGGCAGACAAAATAAACAGTGATAATAATATATATTGATCCTAAATAGTAATAAAAAATTTAAAATATCATTAATATTGACAAGATATAGTGTTAGCAACAATAAAGCATTAAAACTAGATAAAAATAATGTTACACAAAACAACAAAAAGCACATTGAATCTTATCAATTCATTCAAAAGACCTTTTTTTTTATGTTATTATCGTTCTGTTTTTTCTTGTTTTTTTTTTTGTAAAATGCTTCATTTGTAAAGATTATCATAGAAAAAACCTAATTTTATTTGACACGTACATGATACAATTGAAACTTGTAAAATATGATGAACAATTATTCAGTGATTTGATTCGACAAATAAAAAATTGGATCAATGTCACAGTAATTTGCAGTAACAATAATTTCTAAAGCAGAATATGAAAGACGAAGCGATGTATACTTATATCTGTGATATATATATGGAAGAAAAAACATTCATAGGATAGAAGTTTTCCCTTAAAAGCAAAATAAAATATGTGTAAAACTATAAATAATCGCGATTAACCAGAGAATTAACAAAAAAAAGAGTGAACATGCAGACAGTTAAATAAACACAACACAAAACCGGAAACGTTTGGACGGATATATAAACTACCTGACGGTGTGGTATAAACATCTTAAGTTAGATTTTTTTTTAAAAAAACAACACAAGTATTCGGATTGACAGAAAACAGGCATTAAACAGGAAAATTAATTTATGGTTCATGGTGAAATGAACAGAAAATAGGACAGTGGGTTTCAACGAAACTTTCAAATAAATGTTTAAAAGGTATAGATAAAAGAATTTATTTGAAATAGTACTGTTATCAGGTAGTGAAAATGAATAGACAGAAACTAAAAACCACTTGTATCTACAATATATAAGAGGGATGGATATCTTATAAATCGACAAACAAAAAATCTATTCATACAACATAATCTGGAAGACAAAGTGATTATGAAAACAACAACAAAATCTTGGCGAAATGAAATACACACAAACAGGAATAAAATAATACCACTGATAAATGCATTGTTATTGTTACAATTACTATTATTCACTGTTATGATTAGGTTTATTATTTGGTGTTCAGAATAACCGAAGATGCGAAAATGATACAAATACACAGACTATACATTCAGTTCTCTATTTTTTCGCCAGAGAAATCTCACTGAACTTGTTCGAATAATACTAATAATAATGCTTATGATTATTTTTATTTGACTAGAGTTGCTGTATCCGCCTGATTAGCATTCAATAGAACAACTGGAAAACATTTTACATGTGTTCGCCAAACTGGAGTGATTTGGAAAAATTTTAAATCAGTCCATTCAACACCATCTATCCAAACTTTAAGGATAAGAAAACACAACATTAACAAAGATGAAACATTGGTAGTGGGGTTTAGGTGTTCGTATGCACCAAAAACATGACAAAATATTGACACAAAGTTATTAATGTACTACTTTATGCTTCAAAACAGTTTGTCTGTAGTAAGCAAATAATCAATAGCTCAATGACAAATCTAGTACTAATACCAGTTACTTCAGGAGCAAGAGTTGAAAATTAAGAATCCAAGTTATATACCGTAAAATCAAAAGCTACTTATCTATATTATTAAAGCGAATTGAAACTACGATATACAATATATGATATAAATAGATAAACTGAGTGGCTTTTCACACTGCAAGATCATATATCACACATTATGGTTCAATAGTTGACTTTCCTATGAACTAGGTGGATGAATCAAAGTCGAAATACTTTCAGGAATTCTAATAATTGATTAAACAGTAAACTTAAAACAATTAGTCCCTTTGATAAATTTCGATAATGCAATGAGAAGACGTAGTTTATCAGAATTATGTGATATATTTGCGCAATACATTTCGAACAATCTGATCACACATACACTTGTTAAGAACATTTATATATGAAAAATTAAAAGGTCAACTAGACAGGTTAAGGGTAAGTCATAACAAAGGAAAAAATATTAAAGTACACAAAAACAAATGTGATTACCACTCTGGATAGTAAATCAGTACTACCAGGGTAGGTTAAGTGTAAGTACAAATTGTTTTTGAACACATAAAGGGGGTTTCAATTTTCGTATAGCCAAGGCTTCAATAAACCTTAGTATACGTCCTTGAAGGCTTTTGTACAACACAACAAATGCTGATTTGATATCAACCTTATGACCCGTCTCAATCAAATGTTTCGCAATGGATGATGATGTCTGTCTATCCTGTGATCTTATTTCACCATTGGAATTCATCTGATTTTGCAACCATTTTGGTATATGTTCACCCACCCTTAATTGCAAATCACGGTTGCTCCTCCCTACGTACGTGTTTCCACACATACATGTAAATTTATAGACACAATGGGATGTGACACAATCGTTTTCATGCTGTTTGGGCTTTTGGTGAAACATAGACCTTGTCTTTTCGATGATGACAAGTTGGGCTGCATAAAATGTCCGGTTGATAGCTAATTTAAGTCTCTGTTTCAACATGAGACTATTTATGTCACCTCTGAATGGTAGCGTAATATAAACTCGCTTTTTGGGTGCCAGAAGCGTCATAGGTCTAGTCATATTGCAACCCTTCCAGCGGTTTATGAACTTCAAAGGGTAACCATTATTGATTAACGCATCAGTCAAGAGCTTCATCTCTACTTCAATAGTATCACTAGTACAAATACGATTGATCCTATTGAATAGGCTCTTTATTAAACCACGTTTATAATGAATAGGGCAGTGACTATGAAAATTAAGATATTGTCCTGTCCATGTTGGTTTTCTATATATAGCACGTTTGATGGAACCATCATCTCTCCTAGTAATCAGGATGTCAAGAAAAGGAAGTTGGTTGTTCTTCTCTTCTTCACATGTAAGAGAAATGTGGTTTTGACTACTATTGAATTCTTCTAACAAGTGGCTTATGTCTTCAATTTTATCACCTATGATTATTATGTCGTCTACATATCGTTTATACAGACCCATCTTTCGAATTGAGTCTCCAACTAAATTTTCCACATATCCCATGAACACATCAGCTAGCAATGGTCCTAGAGGGCTGCCCATAGCTACACCATCTATTTGTCTGAAGTGTTCACCTTCAAATGTGAATTTTACATTATCTGTACATAATAATAATAAATCTTTAAGAGTTTTAACAGGAAAAGGCAGTGGAAGGTTTTTCGAAGAAATAAAGTCACACAAAATATCAATGGTTTTCCTAAGAGGTACATTTGTAAATAAAGTGTTTACATCAAAGGAGCACATTGTCTTTGTCTTTATATTTATATCCTTTAATGTAAACACTTTATTTACAAATGTACCCCTTAGGAAAACCATTGATATTTTGTGTGACTTTATTTCTTCGAAAAACCTTCCACTGCCTTTTCCTGTTAAAACTCTTAAAGATTTATTATTATTATGTACAGATAATGTAAAATTCACATTTGAAGGTGAACACTTCAGATAAATAGATGGTGTAGCTATGGGCAGCCCTCTAGGACCATTGCTAGCTGATGTGTTCATGGAATATGTGGAAAATTTAGTTGGAGACTCAATTCGAAAGATGGGTCTGTATAAACGATATGTAGACGACATAATAATCATAGGTGATAAAATTGAAGACATAAGCCACTTGTTAGAAGAATTCAATAGTAGTCAAAACCACATTTCTCTTACATGTGAAGAAGAGAAGAACAACCAACTTCCTTTTCTTGACATCCTGATTACTAGGAGAGATGATGGTTCCATCAAACGTGCTATATATAGAAAACCAACATGGACAGGACAATATCTTAATTTTCATAGTCACTGCCCTATTCATTATAAACGTGGTTTAATAAAGAGCCTATTCAATAGGATCAATCGTATTTGTACTAGTGATACTATTGAAGTAGAGATGAAGCTCTTGACTGATGCGTTAATCAATAATGGTTACCCTTTGAAGTTCATAAACCGCTGGAAGGGTTGCAATATGACTAGACCTATGACGCTTCTGGCACCCAAAAAGCGAGTTTATATTACGCTACCATTCAGAGGTGACATAAATAGTCTCATGTTGAAACAGAGACTTAAATTAGCTATCAACCGGACATTTTATGCAGCCCAACTTGTCATCATCGAAAAGACAAGGTCTATGTTTCACCAAAAGCCCAAACAGCATGAAAACGATTGTGTCACATCCCATTGTGTCTATAAATTTACATGTATGTGTGGAAACACGTACGTAGGGAGGAGCAACCGTGATTTGCAATTAAGGGTGGGTGAACATATACCAAAATGGTTGCAAAATCAGATGAATTCCAATGGTGAAATAAGATCACAGGATAGACAGACATCATCATCCATTGCGAAACATTTGATTGAGACGGGTCATAAGGTTGATATCAAATCAGCATTTGTTGTGTTGTACAAAAGCCTTCAAGGACGTATACTAAGGTTTATTGAAGCCTTGGCTATACGAAAATTGAAACCCCCTTTATGTGTTCAAAAACAATTTGTACTTACACTTAACCTACCCTGGTAGTACTGATTTACTATCCAGAGTGGTAATCACATTTGTTTTTGTGTACTTTAATATTTTTCCTTTGTTATGACTTACCCTTAACCTGTCTAGTTGACCTTTTAATTTTTCATATATAAATGTTCTTAACAAGTATATGTGTGATCAGATTGTTCGAAATGTATTGCGCAAATATATCACATAATTCTGATAAACTACGTCTTCTCATTGCATTATCGAAACAGTAAACTCTTAACTTTTAATTATACAATTCTTATAAATGAACTGAAACCATAAACTACTTAATTAGGAGGTAAATAAACCATGCGTATATAATTCACGTGTATCTGCTAAAACAGTTAGATTAGTAGGACAGAAAAGTGAGCCTACATACGATCCAAAGGAGATATTACAAAAAGTCTAAGGTCAAGTGGATTAAAAGCAAATGGTAGTGCCATTTCGAAATACCTCCTTGATACAGAATATCAAGTCGATACGTTGAAGTCTTTTAAAGTGATTAATAAACAATCGAGCTCTAATCTTCTAAAATTTTCCGAAGTCATAACAATTAGACGTCTAGAACCAGGTATATGAGTCCAAAAAGTAAACAGTAATAAAGCTTTCTTTGCCCTGGTAACATGACATCCTTTTTATGGCATCATTCATCACTTCGATTTTTTCTCAAGTTTTAATCACACCACTGTCACTTCTCTTACATTCATAGTTGGCTGACTTCAACTAGTGTCTTTTTTATTACTATCATTCAGTTTTCAGTTAATTCATTACACAATCATCTTATGTTTGTAAACTCTATGATTTCTGAACACTAGTTCTATGTTCTGGAACTTTCACAATTTATTTATTTATCTGAAAGAAAAAATTTCTGACCTTAATAACTCCGTTGGAATCTTCGCTACAACATGATAAACACATTCATCTCTAATCACCTTTGTATTTATAAGTATGTCAATATCTGTAATAACATTGATTTTTAAATATTATAGGTTGCAAAGCAGCTGATGAGAGTCTAACGAAATAAAATGAATTTATATTGTTCAGCACCAATCTTTGATTTTGCTCGCTTTAAAATAGCAAAACGAACTATGTGTATGAACATTCATGGATAGTGATCTGTATTATAAGGTTATATCAAGAACGGAGAAAATCGGAACTTTTATGTTAATATGTTCAAATTTCGTCTTTTATGCTTTATCATGTAATTATTACTACTACAACAACAAAAGTAACTAACCTCTCATCATATGATTATTGTTCACAGTAAACCCTGAAAAACCACAATTACTAGCATTACCACCAGTCAAAGCTAAGCCTAATGCAGATATTGTACTTGAAGTTTTATAATCTGGAGAGCATAGAACATTTGAATCTGATATTAAACCGGCTGATGAAGAATGATGATGATGACTGGGTTCTGTATCTTTTGAACGTTCAGTATTATTAGTTGAACTGGTATTATGCAGATTACAACAACGTCCAGTACATAAAAGACGTTGAATACCAGTAATCAACTCATAACGACAGTTAAGTTCTTTACCTTTACGACCGATAAGCATAACTGAAATATTTGAAAAAGTCAAGAAACACAATGAAAATTGATTAAGTTTTATCGATTGAAAATAGATTCTGTATACAATAATAGAACAAACAGAGAAAAAAATACAATAAAACTGTTAATTAGACAATGATCCCTGTTTATTTTGAAAACAAGAAAACAAAAGTTGACATGTTTAAACCACACAGCATATCAAGATTTTAATTTATAAATTTTACGTTTTAAACTAAAACACTGTTTATCTGTTAACATTATTGTTGTCAAAAAAAGCTTGTTGAAGCTGAACAACTCGTTAAAATTACTTATAAGAAGTTTCATTTTATAACGATTAAAGACGATTACAACAATATGGAAGACTTCTAAAGAGTTGTAAGAAATATCGATTAAACACGGAGTCGAATGTGTGTTACCAGAGAGAACATACAAAATGAGCTACGGAGAAGGTTAACTATGAATAAGTGAATAATGTGGAAGAATATTTGAGGTTTCTGGTTGGAAGTTTCAGATAAATTTCGGTTTATCTAAACAATCTGTAGTATTTCTAATTAAAATTACAATGAAATGGTAGATCTGTCATAGAATTGCACATGTAAACAGTAAACTAGTTTGATAATAAACATTCTTGGTCCTTTATTTGTCCAAGCAGAAAAATTATGGACAAATATAGGACGAAGAATCAAATCAATGGTAGATATAATCAAAAAGCTAAACAATGACAGGTTAAAGGTCAACAATAACTAATCAACAATGAGGTCTACAGAACGAGCAGTGAACAATATATGGAGAAATTAGAACACTTCACTTCTAACTGAAGTTTGTGTTGATGATGTCGCTCAGAATAACGATGAAAGCTCCGCGACTAAATCAACCAGTTCAGAGAAAAAAACTCCAGCAAAAAGAAAATTTATTACCTCATATTTCCTCAAGATTGATCACTTTTAATATTCGAATACTAACTCGAGTGCTGAACATATATATCAAGAGAAACCAGATTTCTTAAAATAAATATATATGCCAATTTCATAGAAAGGCGAACAATATCCATTAATCTATAAATTGTTAGTCTAATATTGATTGGTTTCAAGTTAATTTCCAAATAACAAGTTAGTTTATGGGAGAAACAGAACTTTTGATTGATAATATCGGTCTTAATAGAATAATTACTCAGTGTGTTTATTGGTTAATTATACATAGACCGTAAACATGATTGAAGTATAGGTCAATTAAAACTGAAGTATACAATAAATAAAAATGGATAAATTCGAAAATAACTCTAAATTCAAGTATTTTATCATTCCTGGCACTTACCAAATATTGGAATGAGCTATTCAAAAGTCATCGGACTTCTGATGGTCGGACTATATAAACATATGTTGAGAGCAAATGAGTGAGTAAATTAAAGTGGGTGCAATTACATTTTTAAGACCATATTCATGTACAGTATTATTACATACTCGTTTTAAGGTTAGGATTTATGTGAGCGGTCTAGAGCTAAATTTTAAGTTTAGAGGTTAATCACACTGCTCGGTTGCTAAAGTTAGTAAGTCAGCTACAACGCAGGACGAGGCACATATATGCATCGGTCCAAATTGCCACACTTCATTAGCACAGCAAGATGAACACCAAATTCATAGAAGCAGTTACTTAAATGGTAGTAATATATAAAAGAATGTGTATAAGGTTGTAGTATCTATATATGCACAATAAAAAAAATCATTTTAAGTCGGTAAACACGTACTTTTTTGTTTCTTTTCCTTTGTCCATAATCCAAGAGCGAGATGTTGAGTATGTGTTTGATTTAAATTGATTTGTACATGACGAATTGGTGAATAAACTAAACTGTTAGAATGGGATTCCATACCATAATTAAATATGTCACCATTACGATGTGGCGAAGATAACATAGAACCAGTTGTATTGGATGACGAATCTATCGTAACGACCAAACCAGGCGATATAGTTTTTACAGTAGAACGTCGCGGTGGTGATACAGGATCCGATGTTGTACTTGGTGGACTTGTAGGACAAGAAAGAGCACTGTTAGTATTGATATTATTTGAAACAGAATTCGCAGATGAAAACGACGATGACATTGAAGTAATTTGACTATTGCTACTTATTGTTGTAGTCTGACTAGGTATCGACCAGTACTCTATTTGAATATCCCAAAGGCGTCGATCGGAACCGAATACTGGTGACTGACCACTTCTTTGAGCAGAAGAATGTGATCTATATTTGCCAAAATAATATTAATAAATGGAGTAGTTAATAATAACTTGGAAAGAAGTATGAATTAACATTAATATTCATTGTGAGGATTTTATTAATGCGCATTATGAAGTATTTAGTAGATTAATTTAAAAAATATTTGTAATAAAAAGCAGCAAAGTAAAACATAGTTAAGTCATGTAAAGGAAAATAGAATATCACTTGCATATTGTTAAAAAGCTGCACACACACATTATGATTAAAAGCAACATGAATAGAAAGTGCGACGAAAAAAAATATATTATATTAGTAAACAAATTAGCAGCTACAAGAACGTGTCAAGTGTTTTGCAAAAAATAATGTTGGTGACATGTCTTAATTGTTCCATTAAGTAATAATCAGTGTTGAGTTTCCGCAGTAATCGAATTTTATCGGCCAAGCTACAATGTGGCTGTTGGCCTAAGTGACTCGAAATTAAGTGCACTATGCGTTGCTACTAGCTGTTTGGAGTCAGTTAATAACAATCCATCATTTCCTTGGCAATGGCTCACATGACGTAGGAAGCACCAATTCCTTTGGTAATTGCTAATATCCCCTGCTAACAAGCCTTGAATAGCAAGAGAACTGGATTCAGAGTATCTTGCCTCCAAAGTCTCAACCGACGAGGCCCACTTTATATGATAAGGTCTTATTCGAATTTATCATGAGAAAATATTAATTTTATGTATTATTCAGTGTGTTTACTGCCTTGGATTTCCAAAATAATAGGAATTACTAGGAGGAAACTGTTAGTAAAATGGCTGAAAACCAATCATAATATTGAACATAAAGGTGTAACCTACAAAATTCCTCGATATTATTGTGAAGCAACATTTCGGAGACATGAATTTAGGGTTAATGAAGAGTCCTAAAAAGTGTATATTTATTAGACTCCACGTATGAAAGATACGGTATTCTAATATACTTTGCAAAACAGAAAGGCCTTTGAACATTCAGTGATTCTTAACAATATCAATGTAGCGCGCTCAATGTTAAAATGATATATATACAAGGAATATAAATTACAGATTGCTTTCGTACATAATTATCACAACTTTTCAACATAAACACACATAAAATTCTACAAGATTCAAATAGTTTGTTAAATCACGGATAGAAAGTTCATTTAATGAATATATCAATGTTTAAAAATCTTTTTTGACTGTATGAACCAACTATTGAATAACACATAAAATAATCAGAAAACATCTCGATCAGTCTCTGCGTAACAATACGATAAAATTATGTCTAATGTATCATATGAATGAATTCCTGTAATCAGTTTCTTTTTTTTCAATCCATTTTTGTAACTTTGATGGAAATTCAGTCAAACTAAAACTAAAATATCCAAAGTAATAAACTTTGTTTAAATGAGAAATAATAAATAAAAACACGTAATCAATAATAATATACTTAAGAAATTCTGTTGATTAATCTGAATGAATAGAATATTTAGCATTAACTATTACTGAGCATGATTAGAAACCTTAAGTGATTATATGATCGCACTGTTCATCAAATGAATTATTATAAATGAAGAAAGAAGGCCCGCAAATTAAAGATATTTCTATGGTTTTAATTGTTTTATTAAGAAGGAAATATTCGTATATTTAGGTAGTTTTCTTCAGATAAAAGACTGATGTAATGCTCTATGAAATATTTAAATCTCCGTAATTATTTGAATGAGGAAACGCGTAAAAATAAATGGTACGAATGAAATTCAAATGCATAAAACACATTCCCTAGAGAAATGAAAATATTGGAAATACGTCATACATTATACAAAAAGACAAGTAGAAAGACAATGACATAAAATAAACAACTAATTAATTAGGCAAAACCTAATTTAACAAACACAAATACACGTTGATATAATGACTTCGTTTACATTTGGTAAGTAAGTCAGAAATAATCATCTATATAGATATTATGACAAAATTAAAAGTAAACATATGAGTTTATTAGTTTGCACACCACTGATAAACAGAATGAACGTCGACTATTGATTTTCGTAACAAAAATCAGAATTTAATGGTTGAATCATGACTTTGAACTATTAGATCATACATTTGACCTCTCTCCGAGACGCACACATATTTCAATTTGAGTAGTTGAACTACTGATGGCACACATACTGATACAAGATGTGGGGCAAAGTCGCGTACATTAACACATGCTTGATAAATATGTTACACCGACAATCATTTTCGAGAATTTAATTTTAATCAATCTTATCCGCGTTGCTTATTTACTAGTATATTAATCAGTATTCGTATATTTATCAAGTTTCCAAAAATGTCATTCAGTTAAGACATTTGAAATTAAGGTTACTGTCGTCGATTATTTAGACCCTTGAATACGGTACACAGTAAAACAAAGTTAAATCCCTACAATAGTATCATATCAGTCAAGAATGAAGATGATTTTCGATGATTGCTATCAAGGAGTGAGAAACTCTGGTCCAAGGTTTTCATAGCAATTACCTTTAACTATCTGAAACAGATTTGTAATCTATTCCACGGAAAGTTGTTAATCTTTAATTATTATCATTATTTAATTTGAAGAACAAAATTATAACAGAAACGTGTCAAGTAATCCATGTTTAATTGAATCTATCTTTATGTTGCCACAATGGGCTTGTGAGGGTTTTTAATTAAAAACATAATCACGAGCCGATCAAAGTTGGACAACCAGTGAAAACCTGAAAGCACTGGATGGACGTTTCATCTTAGCATGGGGCTTCTCAGAAGTGAACATCTAGGTTTTCACAGGTTTTCTAAGTTTGACTAACTCATGATTTTATTGTTAATCAACAATCTCCACAACCCATAAAGACAATTATCATGAGCTCAGCTCATTAGTGACCAGCTAAAAAAAGACATTTCCTGAGTTCTAGTGAGAAACTGTGGAGCTAACCCATGTCGGGTGGTCGCGTAATATCGTGGATTGATTGTAGTTAGACATTAGCACTACAGGGTGCCAGTTCAATGGTCCAGAGGTTAAGCATCTGTTTGCGAGACCGAAGGCCACGGGTTTCATCCCCACTTGTGGGGTCGCCGATGTGCACCACTGAGAAGTCTCACACTGCAATTAAACGGCCGTCCAGTGCCTCCGGGTTTTCAATGGTTGTCCAACTTTGATCGGATTGTGATTTTATATTCATATAGAAATGTATATTATCCCTAAAACATGAGAATTTTCACCTTGAAAAATATTTTCGAATTGCTATATACACACATGCCCACACAGTACCAACATACGAAGGAATTTTCACACATTTTTAAATTGTAGTTAAAATTGTACATCATTTTACAATAAAAAACCAACTAATGTGTTAATAAAATTGAACGATCTTGTTCACTAATGAAAAGTCAAAATAAAGATACACAGAACAATAAGGTGGTAATTGTTATATAGTTTTTCACGTTCGGAAGCTGATTAACGGGTTGTACTGTAGACATTTTATTGTTATCCACTGTTATTATTCTAGATTAAAAACTAGCTTATTTCACGATAAGAGTATATGTGAAGAAATTTCTCATAAAAGTTGAAAATAGATAGGTTATTTTAATAGGTGTTTATACCAACACATAATAAGTATATTTCTCATATACACCAGGAACTATACGTTGTGTGTCTTAATTCTCTCTAAATAGAAAAATATATACTGATGAAACCACGTTTGAAAAAAAGAAAGCCAAGTTAACGGTAAACATCATAATATTGAAGGTGTTACATGCAGAAATTAGACTAAAATTGATTATTCCAGCAAGGTATTAGATAAATGAGTGGAAGATTAATGGACAATAAATTGTGTAAAATAGTTGTAAATCGAATAAAAAATACTATAAATAACACACATAAATACAGAGACAAAACCTTTGTCAACTTCGTAACACAAGCATTGTGTAAATATACTGTTTGTGGTTCAGATAAATAATAAGCTCAAAACCAAGGCATAAAGTTTGCTGGTTAGAGAAATGGTATTTACTATTATCGTATGCAGTATAGAATGTAAATGTTTAATGTACCCGGGTAGAATATCAGACAAACGTGTAGTGGCGGTAGTAGTAATACTACTACTAGCACTATTCCTGTTGTTATTAGTTCTAAAAGATCCATTTCTCCATGAAGATTTTCGTTTAAGTAGTGTTTTATGTGAACGAAATGATAGTGAAAAATTTCGACGTATTCTAGTCATATAAACAATGGAGAGAAAAATAAACAGTAACAACAATAATAGATGACAAATAAATATCAATAAAAAGAAACAATTTTAAAATGATCAGAGTGAAATAATCAAGGAGAACTGATACAAGAACACGATACCTTTCTCATGAACAGTAGCAACACTTTTTATCTAATTTCTCAAGGATTGATCTCTCACTTGAAGGCTTATTTGATGACTGAGGGTACTTAGATGGAACAGTTCTCCTCGATAAAGGTGCCGGAAAAATTGGAAATGAAGAATGTGAGTGCTGTGAATATCTCACTTACATTTGAAGTCTCATCAGCTCCGTAGAGTTGATGGCAAACGAAAACTGCATAAGACCTCAAAACGCTTAGATGCCTATTGACAACTTCCGCCACCTATGTTTGTCTATTAAAGAACGAGTATATTGCTTAGGCACTCGTGATGTTTTACTTATGGCTGTGAAATGTGACTTATGAAAGTAGAAAATATTTATAGGTTATGAGTAATTGGTCACATATGTTCTCAAGACATTGCGTATTAATCGTGGGGCAACCAACAAACCAATGCTGAAGCTAGATATATGGTGCTAGGTTGGTAAAGCTGTGAATCATCGGCTCAGTTTGTTGGAACACGTAATACGTATGGTTAACTACCACCCATCTTGAAGTGCAATGTTGGTTGGAGATTTCGCTTATGACACTATGGTTTCAGCATCAATATTCTTACACCGTTGTTATTTTTGAAGTAACTAAGTTATGATCCAATACATATAAATATAAACAGATAGATAATATCACAATAGGTCCAATTACAATTTTGTATATAAAAAGCTAGTAAGTTTTAATAAAGATATTTGTTTACAGACACGTTGAAATCATCGTAAGGATTATACCATAAGGTGAACCAAAATAAAAATCAATAAAAACTGTCGTTTAATATATATAGTAGTAGACTAGAATTATTTAGATAACGGCTATTTATTCTCCAAGTAAAAAATACGGAAAGACATTCGATATTGATTACTAATTACACGACAGTTAAGTGCATTGTTACACAAGCTTAAAACTATGAAACGATAGTGACTGGTCGATTAAAAACCACCTTTTTCATACTTAGATGACAGCATTTTTCGCTACAAGTATCATGTAGGAACAGACATCAGATGAAAAATCAAATTTAGCAGTAGCAAAAAATCGTAATACACAATACTCTTTGTGATAATACGTTTAACGGATAGAATTGTTCAGCTGATATGCTATATAACATTATCTGTGAGAGATCCGTGGAGAGCATTTATGTAATTAAAATCTAAACAACTGGCTAGGTAATTAATTATGGATGTGTGTATGTTTCAATAATATTGACCTTCAATTAGATAAAACGCGAAATCCAGTCGAACCAAATTCTAGATTCCTTAACATCTCATAGGATTACTAAAGCCTTCTATATGTGATTGTGTCACATCATGTTGATAATAAAGTTTGCAACTGAATCAATGTTTCTTAGAAATGATGATTTGTTTCGATAAAAAAAAATCACATTGCTGTAAGATGATCCTGGTAACTCTTTATAAACAAGTTATATTGCCGTATATATAACTTTCTAAAGTATACTAATTTCCCGTTTGTTCTTTAATTCATGACACTGTTCAGTGTCTTTATCTACGTTTTTATTTTTCTTTTGGCTTCTTCCATAGGACGTTCAATATGTTTTCATCTTAAAATTCACAAGCTGGTATTAAAATCATAATAAACATGACTTCCGATATTGTACACAAATTTCTCTTTACATTGAAGAACCTATTTAAAAGCTGATTAGTTAAATTTTCTGAAAAACCATGAAGAAACAAGTGATTGCATTTAAACTCCAATATAAATCTTAACATCAAGGTTATGTTAATCATGCCTATAAGAATGATTCATTTTCAAGAAAAAAAGCCAAGTAATAATCTAATGAAGAATTCAGATAGGCTTGAAAAACTAAACAAAGTACAACCAAATAAAAATTAATGTGAAGAGATCAGAACATTTTCAATACGATTTAACAGGAAAAAAACGGAAACGAAAGCCTAAAATAAAAACGAAATCAATGTACTTAACATAGGAAGTAAACAACTTTTGAGACTGAATAAATCGAGAGTGAAAAAGTGTTAAAAGAAGAAAGCGAAGGATAAGAAAAGCAAGAATGAAAATAAGAAAACCATTAGTTGGATAAAAATTAATTTCCCAAGTAATGATTTTCAAAATGAAAATAGAGTAAAATAATGTTACGTGAAAAAAAGGTCGACAGAAAGGAACAATGATAAAAGACATGAGGTTCTAATTGATATATCTTGAATCCCAAACATTGTAATCAATTAGTTCATTATAACCTTATCCACAAAATGATAACTAAATTATATAAATTGCTGTAACTGTTATATCCGACGAAAATTAAATCAATGGTAGCGGTCAGGATTAATTTATGGACTGTTATAATACATATATTATCACTGTATAATTATTAACTAACTAGATTATTATATACATATTTCTTTTATCATAGATCTCCTTTGACCTATTAACTACTGTCATATGATCAACTATTCTTAATCTATTGCCAACTTATTATTCGCAGTCTCCCCAACTCATAGCCACTGCAAGCCTTGGCCGATCTGATTAGTCCAGATAGAGTTCTGATTGACAAAGTTGCACCATATATACACCAAAAGCCTCTTTGATTCAGTCTAACTTACATATCGTAGATTTGTTGATCATGAATGAAATCATGATTAAATAGTGGGTTTTATAAAACCGATTGCGCTTGTTCAGATGTATTCACTTTTATCATTTTGAATGATGAATGAAGTTCTATGAAATCCTATTTTATTTACCAACGTTAATTCATTTATTTTATTTCGCATTTCCCACTAGCAACAGTGTACTTATTATTAATTTCAAGTCTTCTGTCTTTTCTCTTATTATTTACCTATTATCATGGTGTGATCTGTTTCCATTTGAATCAGATTCCTCATTGCATTTATATCTGCTCGACTAGATAGTAATTAAATTAGTAAAAATCAAACTAATTAATGTGCCTAGTTCATATGGATTACATAATGAACTAAATACATTACGTGAATCTATTTAATAGAAAAAAGTGAAATTAGGAAAGGTTCAATAAGTACAATTTGTCCTGATATAATTACAGCTCGATAACCTTTAAAACGCATAGAATATTTACCGTATAGTAGATGGAGTAGCGTTGATAGAATTTAGAATACATTAATTTCAGGAAACAGAACAATTTAAAAATCATTTCTATGAAATATAAGTATCTTGAAAGATGTGCTAGCATATTTCAATTGCCCACATTTGAAATCAAAAACTAAGTGTATTGATGGTAAAAATTCAAGTAATTACAAAATCCAACAATATTTATGTCGCCTTAGTAACAGTTACCGTAACGATTTACATACTCCAAGTATATACGGAATTATCGATACAAGAAACTTAAACGATAATAATAAATTAGTTAATAAGAATATACACTAATTAAAACTGTACATTACCTTGGTGCTATGGTTGCATTATGTGAAACTGATTCAGGACTAATATTACGTTTAGTATAAGATTGTTCTGGATCACTAGGTGTTTTAAAATCAAAGTCAGCGGTACTTGTATTAGTTACTACTGTAGATGTATTAAATGAATTAGAAGATGGATCGGCAGTAAACGATCGACTAGTCTGCTGTTGGTGTTGAGATTTAGTCTGTGTTGGAACAGTTGTCAATAAGCCAGGATAATTTAATGTTGAACAATTGCCTAGACGAACATTTAAAATGAATGGAATAACCATTTCTTCATTCTGAATATTATTATTACCTAAAGAACATAAATATAAAGTAAAATGTGGAATTTTAATGAGAAAATAATTTTTTTTAACGTTCTACAACTGATAAACTAAAGGTGTCAAATGAACCTATGTTTCATTTTCTCTTTATTACTTCAAAGTTTGACTGAGAAATATTGAATTGTTTATTCATTACGATACACACGTTTAATAATTACTTCTATTCGTACAGCTGTTATTGTAATGAATGCTGCGTATGTTGACAAATATAAGTAGAAAGTAGCCGCAATCGGGAGTAGAATGCCTGCCAGTAGAAGATTGGGATGAAGAGAACAGGAAGGAAATCGGAGAGCGATTGAAATAACAACAGTTAGAGGAACAGTGGAGTATGTAAAAAAAAGCTGTTCAAATGATGTATTTAATGTATAACTGTCATATTTTTCCAAGTCACTCTATGTATTAAACAATAAGTTCGTTTTCCCCACCTGAGTTTTTATTTACTACACTAATACTATTCTTTAGTGGCTACACTTTCTACGTAGGTTCATATAAAAACCAATGTATATATTAATGAAAATAGTAATTGTTTACTGAGTTATATACTTTACGTATAAACATTGACTATTTATTACATAAGTCAAATAAACACAAACATCATAAATAAATAAATAAATAACACAACATTAAGAACTATATATTCAACCGTAAAGTAAGGTATCTAAGAGTGAAAGAAATATGTATTCAACGGGTATCAGTAATTCATAATAATTAACAAACTTTGTCATATAATTTTAAATCGACTAGACTATTTGAATTTTTTTGTCTTGAAACATTACTTTGAGATTTGAATTGTTTTAGTTTCAAATTAAAATCACAGAGACAATTTTATTAAGTCAACTTCAAGTAAATGCATGCTAGGCTAAGTACTTTTACGAAAAGATATTCCGTTTCATATATTTCGACTAACTAGAGATACATAGAAATTGAAGAATTAATCAGTGACAAGAATAATCCCTGTTAGAACACATTTAATTTAGATACATAGAAAAGGATGAATTATTTTTGAATCACCTAGAAATTTACATTTACAAAGATTTGTGCCTAAAAAAAGGGTTAATACTTTCAATGAATTACAGTCTCGATTGTAAAGCGCAACGATTATTCTATGATTTTGAAAATCCGTTTACAAAAAAAAAATTGTGTTAAGTAACAAACCAGGTAGTTAGGTATTAATTTTATTTGCTCGCGACTAACGAAAGTTGTATCTCCTGATTGTTTATGCATTAAATGACTTCTTATTAGGTTTTTTGGGTTTAGTCCATTTTATAAATGTATTTTATTCTCAATAGTTGAGATCATGAGTCGATTGAAGCTAGATCACCATGGAAAACCTGGAAGCACTGGACGGCCGTTTCGTCCTATTGTGGGACTCCTCAGCAGTGCGCATCCATGACCCCGCCTCGCGAGATTTGAGCCTAGGACTTGTCAGTTTCGCGCCAGGCGCTTAACCACTAGACCACTAAGCCGGCACCTAACGGGAAGAAAAAACTTGTTTCACTTAACTAGTCTTCTGATAACGGTTTATTAGGTGATATTGGTCGATAATTCGGTTGGATTCACATATGAGGATATTCATGTCATCGTGAGAATTTATCACTTTTGTCAAATGATAATAAAAGTCTAAATTTCTCAGTCATCATTTTTGTTTATGGAATATGAAGCGCTAGCCCCTAATCCAAATCTATTACAACAACAACAAAAATTCAAGGCATTTAACAGTATGACTTTGTTTGTTTGTTTTCAGACTAATGAAACCATACCTGAACAAGCAATCCAATCTGAATAACTAGCATTTTGGTCTGTTATTCCTTGACCTGACTGATTTGCAATATTTATATTGGTTGAAGATAAATTTGACATCGCATTAGTACAATCTGTAGTTAGAGATTTTTGCATTTTATTTACATTAGTTGAAGTATTTTTTGATGAGCCAAGAAGACATGATCCAATAGGAAATGGATGGACATTTCTACCATTTGTTAGATATTTCACAATACGATTAACCAATTCAGATCGTAACACTAACAAATCTAAATCATTCATCGTAGAATTAACATCGACAGAAGCAGACTCATTGCATAATTCTGAAAATAAGCTTCCATAAATTGGATCAATTTGACAAAGATGAAACGTAAACAGATTGTTAATGTAATTTGATCCATGAATTGATGGTAGCGAAGTACGATCAGAATCTGCTGTATAAAAAATACATAAGGTAAAAAAACGCAGTAATTTTTTTCTTTTTAAAATAAAAGATTAGTATAGTACTACAATATGTGTATATGAAAATTATCATGATTATGTGGACACAGATATTAGGCTTACAATCATGCAATGTAGTTAACGGGAGTTTCGCCTTATTTTTTTTGGAGTTAGACAAAAGTAACTGGGAGCTTGATGTTTATTAAATCTAATCAGAAGTGATTGTCTGGTAGATTAGATTATTTATTATATACTTTGGAACTGGATAAAAACTCATTTTGAACATGGCGTACGTGATAGAAATTCCAAGTGAACATTTATTATTATTGATATTTCTATGGTTTACATGACTCTTATCATTAGCCTACAAAATGACCTTAACTGTTTTGATGTTTTACATATATGTGCTTATGCATAATATATCTGGATATTAGAGCAAAGCTTTAAGAGAATATAATTAGAAACAATATTTGATGTTAGGTGGTTGGAGGTAAGTAAACTCAAATCTGATTTATTTAAGCACTAGACAATATTAATATATATTATTATTATTATTATTCCATAATCAATTCGTGAAAACTATAATGTTCATTGATATGTTCTCGTTTAATAAGAACTTTTAGTACTCTTCAGAGGCAAAAATTGTTGTTGTTTTATTTTTAGAAAAATAACAACAACCACGAGAATGATTAAATGAACAAAATAAAATCATGTATGATTAAATACAAAATACAGTGAGAATAACTTACAATCATTCAGATTAGATTGATTACATCCAGTGTTACTTGGTGTATCCATTGTATGCTGCTGTCGTTGTTGACTACCAACTTCTGACATCGGATTAGTCTTCATTAGATTGTTCCGACTTCGTTGATGTTGTAATGATGATGAATGATGAATAAATCTAGTTAATCCATCAATTGGTATAATGAAAAATCGAAAAGCAGTTATCAATTCTGTAGATCTACAACTTAATGATCAACATAAGCACGTAAGACAAGATTAATCAATAAATTTCCACCGAGTATACAAATTTTAATATAATCACCATCGGATATACGTCGTGTATAGCTTTGTGCTTCATTAGCCAAACGTGTGAAAATTGTACGCATTTCAATGAGTGAATTTACGTTAAATAAACGTAGATTTAATTCAGATAGTAGACTAAATACAATCTGCAAAATTGAACGAATAAAAAACATTTTAAAAACTTAATTAATATGAATATTAGTAGCATAGAGCAAGTGCGGAGATTGTTTAACTTGTAGTTCACTTTAAAACTAGATGACTAGTGAAAGTCTAGAAACATTCGGTAACTGTTTTTATCTTGATATAGGACACTTTAACAATTCATATGCACGAGCTTCCCATAAATCAAGCCCAAGATCTTCACCAGTTGACTGAAGGTAGAAATGTGAATACTCATATGCTTACACAGTAGTCTAAAAATCAAGTGTTTGCTGAGAGACCTGAAGATCTGGGCTTCGATCCCTGGATAGATCATAGATGTGTACTGTTCAGGAATCGTATACTAGGACGAAATGACCGTCTAGTTATTCTTGATTTCAAACAATTATCTTGATAAAGTCTGACCATGATGTAAACTGTATGTACTACTATGTGAACTATGAATTAAAATTACAATATTAGTAACGCATAATCGATTTAAAAATAAATGCCAATGTAGATTATACTAATATGAAGAAAATAAGGTAAGGAAATATAAATAAATGAACAATAACAAGGAAAGTATCACGAAAGATTTATGTCAGTTATAACGGTTCATTTCATTATCTACGAGGTTTAGCTATAACTTGATGGTTCTAGAATACATCAGGAGACATTATGCAGGTAGTCTACAAGTTTTCTTGATAAAACTACTAGTCCATGGTTGTAAGTAAATAAAAAATTATTCTGATTTTAAAATTTTCAAATACCAGTTTACAGGTCTTGTGATTTTTTATGCATTTATTGTACTAAGGTGATGAATATGAAAATCCATATCATATATCAGTGCTTTTCCCAGCAAATACGAATAAATTATCAATAACTTGAGTGAAATCATCCAGGTCCCAAAGTAGAGGGTCAGATATATAAACACAAGTATGGTGAAATATTTTACAACGAAATGTGTAAAAATATTGTATGATTTTGAATAAACAATCATGTGTTTCGAAGTATATTATTAAAAGGTCCGAGGTGAAATTGACTAAAATTCTTTTTTTCTTCCCAAACAAGAGGATGACCACCAAATCAGTTTGAACGACACTGATGTTAATGAAGCTTACAGTTATATACATGTTTTAAAAAGAGTGTTCATAAGTCATATTTTAACACTTGGTCTTCAACATTGAATTTTCTTGGTTAACTGACACTGAGAGTTCGTGTGAAGATGAGCTTTAATCTTCCTTCTCAGTCGTTTACGTACATGACAAGAGATGTAAAAGGTGATTGTTGATCAATGTTAATGATAAGAACTGATGAAATGATTGTGAATCAGTTATTGGTGTTGAGAATCTTGTCGTGCACCTGTTTAACTGAGAGGTCACTTTATTTTTCAGCAATCGAATCGCGTTACGTCTTTGTTTATTCTTCCTACTGTGGAATAATTGTATTGAACTTAGAAAATTCGATCACATACGTATTTTATCTACTTGCAAAATATATAGTTGCTTATTCCTATATTACATAAATTATTGACAGATAGTTTCGGGTGATTATAAATTTCCGGACGATGTACGAATATATCAGTACTATTTTAGGAGTGTACTAAAAAGGAATATGGCAAGATATACTTCATTCGGAGTCGGTAACTGAACTTTAGTGCTTTTATACTCAGTGTGTAGTTACTAATTGCATCAAACACAGGATAACTTTCAGACGTTCCTATAAATTTCACCGGTGATATTTGAATTTTTCAGTCTCATCAACAACCAAGCAGATGGAGGGAATTTTTTTCACGAATTAGAGGCGATATGATATCCTGTGATTATCTTGTCCGGCACATCTCTATATAGCTTTCTTATTCTTGCCTGTATCTAGGTGACACACCATACAGATAAACAAAAGAACGAACCCAATAGTGGCAAACTTCTTGAAGAGGTTTGTGTTGATGAGACCCACGAATATTGTTTTCAGACGAATTGCAGATTAACATTATTGTTTACATGTATTGAATGCTTAATCTGTTGTCCACTGAATTGGCTCTTTTGGTGGTTTATCGTATTTTCAACAAAAAAACGTATTAATGGAGTCATATTACGCTAGCAATATGAATCTTCCCATCTAAGGTGAATGCTGTTTTCTCAAACTGTTTGGTATTTCATGTATAGATAATATCTATCACATTCCTTCCACTATATGACGAATGTATTATATCAAAACTAACTAGATTTTTAGTTTCAATAAGACAGTATGGAAAATTAAAAATTGAACATCATCTTGAAAATAATAAATAGGTCGGTCGGTTTACGTTTAAACATAAAAATATGAATTATTAACCGCGTAGAGATTGACGTGTTCCACTTTCGAACATGTGTTTGCCGGAACCGAATTAAATGAATTGGAGTTTAAAGCGACAAAACCAACCGATGGATATTTTAACTATTAAGCCATCACAGAGACTTGACCCGGTTTCTACAGGCTAGGTTATGAACAAGTATCAAATCTATTACCTAGGTTCGTATTACGCCTAACAAAGAAAACTATATGGATGGAGGAGCCTGTTATTTTGACCAGATAAAGCATACATCACGTTATTCAAACCAATGAAGAATGGTTTTAGCATTGTGTATAAATACAAAGATGTCAGCTTCATGAGAAAATAACTATGGTTGAAAAGTACTCGAAAGATAACAAAGCAGAGTTAAAAATAATGCATCAAATGATCTTACTTTTCCAGATTTTTCGAAACTACCAACAATAAATGTGACACTTGCTAGTTTTTCTAAATTTGACGGATTCATTTCCACAGAAGTCTAAAAAAGAGCAGCAAGAATATCAGATGAGAAAAATTCAACGAAAACTCATTTAAAAAATGTAACATTCTTTTACAGATTTGTAGCACAGTAGCTCAAATGGCTACTTATAAGATTATACATTTCGCACTCTTATCATTCATCTATTTATTCCAATTTATTAATTTGTAAATACTTAATTTATTGGTATTTACACCACTAAACAAGTGGATTCAACACACTACTAATATTGTATAGTATGTATGATAAAAGCTACAAATTATACTTTGTTAAAATACTTATCAATCAAATTTCTTATGAGGTGTTTACTGAATCCCATAACAACAGAAATTACACAAAGCTATTACGCAAAACAGAAGTATGAAATACTAGAAAATTTCTTTATGAACAAGGAAATCATTCAAAAGATAAGAACTTAACATACGTTCAGTAGTTTTTTGCTTATTTAATAATCGTCTTGTGACTAAATGAATTATCAGACGACAAACACGTGTACTCTCCTTCAAGTCATGTTTGGGAAATTCCTGTCATATTGTCAGTCTTCTTATCATAACTCATTAGACAATTCAATTCTCTGTTAAATTACACTTGATTAGTGTTTTGAAAAGATAAGATACTAAAAAATCTGATACAGTTCACCATAACAATAATCTGAGATAAATATGTCCTGGATACAACTTATACTTCAGTTGAAATTTTACGATTTCTCTATATGAAATTATTTATTCAAATGTTACTATCGAGTTCCAAAATGAATGACTAATTTAATCAGACAGTTATAAAACTGTAGAAATGGGGAAAAAATATGCATCGATCCAAGCCACCACATCACACATAAGTACAAGGGAAATATAATGAGTAGAAATTAAAGGTAATGAACTATACTATAAGCTTTTTCAGAAAAATAAAATTTTAATAAGACTGATTAAAACGTATAGCAAAATGTTGAAATTCCGAAGTTTAACAAAAGATAAAAAATGAATACATCTGTACCAATGAAACGGATTTCGAGACATATCATTTAAGGTGTCAATCAAAACTAAGGTTATCTTTTTCGGTATGCATCATTTGTGTGTTCTTCGCAAGTCAATCGATAACGTGTTAACAAATACGTTCTACAAAACAAAAGAATGTTATTTTGTCTTAATTGTATTCTGTCATTATGAGAAAAACAGTATCTTCAGATTGATCACAATTATATTTTAATAGTTGAATTCATGAGTCGATGTAAGCTAGACCATTAGGTTTTCAATGGTGGTCTAGTTTACATACTCATGAATTCAACTATAAAAATTACTACAATCTCCACAAAACCTATTCCGATCATGATCATAAGTAATTTTAGAATAATTAATACAAGTAACTATATAACCTACTGTTGTCTGAATGCTTCCGTTACAATGATCATTATGTTTGAAAAAATTGATCCCAATAATAATTTTCCTGAACCTAAATTCATACTTAACGAGACAGCTAATTTTCGCTTATTTTATACATCCGTGTAGAGAAAATTTTGGATAGATATGTATCTAAATATCCAATCGATATTTATAAGAATATGAACCGATAAAAAGTCGAAGTTTCATTCCTTAAGAATTTACAAGTATAAAAACACTTCCATAATTTTACTCTTATTTACTTCTTCCCAGTTTATAGTGATTGTATAAATTATAATATCAAGTTATTTAAATGTTGTGATTAGGTATAAGTATTCTATCTTTTGACGACTTTTATGATCAGTATATACTTTATTGGCAGTTTAAATAAATTAGTGTAGGGTTGTAGAGAATGTTGAGTTTAGGTTGATATCATGAATGGATCAATGTTAGGCCACCATTAAAAACCTGGAAGCACTGGATGACCATACTAGATGGTGGTCTAACATAAATCCATTCATGATTTCAACCTAAATAAATTAGTATTGATTTGGAAGTCTTTTTTTATTAACCCTAAGAAAATTAATTACTTTTACCTTTGTTTTTCGAAGGTCCTTTAATATATGTATATCTACGAAATAAGATATCATTACCAACATTTGATTTGATAATTTCGAATAAACTTGGATTAATTTTAATTTGGTTATTTATTCTCTGAAGAAGTGACTTACACTAAGTCACGAAACGCCAGAAAATCTAATTTTCTACTCTTTGGGATATTACAAATATATTATTTATCTACGAAGTAAAATTTTTTATATAAAGAGTCATGTTTCTAGTTACATATACTACTAGGACATGGTGAATTAAACGGTATATTCTCAAACAATTACGACAGATATAAAATCGCAGTTGGAAATAGAAGCCGATTGAAACTGTTGGTATAGAAAAGCTTCAATGACATGAATGTTTTCTTAAATCATTGTAGCAACTTTATCTGAGCAAAAACAATTGCTTTAGTGAACATAATTTAGAGACAAGAAACGTGAGAATAATGAGATTTAGCAAACGTTCCCATTAATACCTATGGAGTTAGACGGATGTTAACTAGTAAACTGGATAATTCAGTGGCCGAACGGCGTCTTCTTCACCAAGAAAACGTAAACCTCAATCTTGTAAGCGCACAACCGTTACACCCAACATTACCTAATGACATTTTATATTATAAAAAATTTATTACAAGTATCTCTTTAACATGAGATTTCATTGAAAAAAGAAGGGAGTTGAAGTATGAGGGTGAGAGAAAAAAAGCGTGTTATCGTATAGTTAGTATTTTCAATTGCCAACACGATTCAGTTATAAACAGATATATTAACAATGAAAGTAACAAAAGCAATCAAGACTATTACCAATCATATTTACATATCGGGATTGATGATAATGATCGCTATAATAGATCATCAACATTGTAACCTTGGAATAAACAATTAATAGAAAGCTAGGATTCAATTATATACCTAATCTAGTAAAGCAACACAAAATTAAAATCAAGGTCAAAAGGTTACTCTACCATCACAATATGAATTTAAAAGTAATTATCGAAGTAAAAAGAACGATAAAGTACTCAATAGAATGTAAAACTACCAGTATAATACTAACAATAATTGAATTGTAAAACTGGATGAATGAACTTTATATAGCATGTATAAATATATCAGATTAGAAAAATAATGTGATTCCTACATACATGTTTTTATTTTAGATCCATGACGTAGATCACATTGTTAAAATGTAATTGTAAGTAGTAAGCACGCTGATTTTCATCCCTAAATACATCGGAATACTAAAAGTAACAATAATATAGTTTGCATCATACACTAACCTTAGTTAGAACCATTTAAAAAGTTGTCCAACGAAGCTCGGTGTTAGTGATGTGGAATATAGTGTATTCAATATTTTTCACAAACTCCCCCTAATACCAGTACTAATAATACTTCAACAGATTTCTTTCCTGCACTAGACATTTGTATGAAAGCTGACGAGTGACTAGTTGTTTAAAATGTAGTACTGTGGATCCAGTCATATGCTTATAAAGTAAATAACTGAAGATTTATAAAAACAACAATAATTGCAATTGTGCAAATATTTAGATTATGTAAGGAGTGGCTTAATGATTAAAGCATAGTGCCATCGTTTTCACTCATTTTAAAGCATAGCATAGGTTACGCTTCAAAGAGTACATATAAGATTATACTTGTTTAATGAGTTCTTTTTAAATCTAATTTATATAGAAAACTGAAAGAGACATTTTTTCTACAGCCTATTTAACGAATTAATTGAAAATTGTTATGCTCATATATTTGGCAGTTAGTTATTATTTAGATCGATATTTCGTATTCAAATAGAAGCTGAATAAATAGTTATACCCATATTGATCAACGAATATAAAATAGATGCTGAACTTGTGAAAACATATAATAATATGCCTTAATATTAGCATAGTATGATATCAGTCTCTGATACATAAAAGCTGTGAATAAATCCTTCAAGTAAATGACAATTGAGTACTGCGTTAAAAATGAGTACTATTTAACTTTAATCTAGATAAGTGGCCAGTAATATCACCCGTCACAATAAGTGTTTCAAGAAATCTTGTACAACGAATTGCAATTAATGAGTCGTGGTTATTACTGCATGGTTTACACAGATTACATAATCATAAACATACCAGTCAACATCTAACATAAACAAGTCATACTTAAATATCAAATATCTATTGTTCTTCAAATTAATATTTGGATGAATATGCCTACTTAAAAAGGTTTATTTAAAAACAATTTTTGACGAAACTAAGCACTCATTTAGTCAGCTATAACGTAGGACCAGGTTTATATATGCATCGGTTCAAGTTGCCATACATCATTAGCACAACAAGATGGACACTTAATTAATAGAAGCAGTTATTTCAATGGTAGTAAATAAGAAAAGTTTGCATATAAGGATATTATACCGGGAAAAAGAATTGGTTCGTAGGACGAAAGGTATAGAGTAATTTTAATCTCATAATTTAAGGTAAGACAGAATTAATACACGTACGCCATTGTGATCGATTCTGAGCCACGTGACCCAGAGTCTCCAAACATGGGTTACGATAAGTTTTATTTTAAGCAAAGAAATATGGTCTGTTGTTAAGAAATAATCTTATTAAGCCGAAAAACATAGAAAATGGTATATATCCATTTGAAGCCTTAGCTCAACATGATGTGTACAACATTTCTTTTAAAAATTAACATACTTAGTTGATTGAATCCTGATTAAAATAAACCGTAATATCTTAATATAAGGAAAATTATATGAAGATATTATGGTTTCTGTTTCTGTTAAGCAAGATTCAATCGACTAAGTATGTTAATTTTTAAAAGAAATGTTGTACACATCATGTTGAGTTAAGGCTTTAAATGGATATATATCATTTTCTAAGTTTTTTTTAGAAAATGAAAGACGCGGTAGACGCCCAACTTTGAGATTAACAAACTGGATTCAGCACGGATTGGTTGTGCACAGACCAAATCGCGACACTACGGATCATTTTCGAACAATCAGTTGAGTGGGGTTCGTCACTATACATCAACTTCATTGATTATGAGGTGTTGGACAATGTAGACAGGAGAACATTATGGAAAATTCTTCGACACTATGGAGTTCCTGAGAAGATTGTCAATATTATCCGGAAGTCATACGACGGACTACAGTGCAAAGTCGGGCATGGAGGACAGCTAACGGATGCATTCCAAGTAAGGACCGAGTCAGTCAAGGTTGTTTACTCTCCCTCTTTCTTCTAATGGTTGACTGAATTATAAAGACCTCGACATCTGAGAGAAAAACACGGAATACAATGGACAGCTCAAAACCAATAAGACGATTTGGACTTCGCACATGACGTAGCCCTCCTATCCCATACACACGAATAAATGCAGATGAAGACAACTAGTGTAGCAGCAGCCTCTGCATCAGCAGGCCTCAACGTACACAAAGGAAAAAGCAAGATCCTCAAATACAACACGGAGAACATCAACCAAATCACACTTGGTGGCGAAACTCTGGAAGATATGGGATCCTGAAGGGAAACGGAGAGGCGGAAGGGCGAAAAACACACTATGTCGGGAAATAAGAGCAGATATGAAAAAGGATGATTAACACTGGAAGAGCTAGAAGGGATTGCCCAGGACAAAGTTGGATGGAGAGTGCTGGTGGGTGGCCTGTAGATCATAATCCTTATTCTTCAAACTGCTTTATAACCCTCATTTAGCCCTATTAAATAGGTAGACACTCTCAAGGTCACTTTAGCGTCCCTCAAAGGTCGTCCATCAATTATAGTCTCACCATTTTCAACTACAACTTAGTAATTGAGTGTGATATAGATGCTGCAAAAACGAAATGAAGGTCAATGTCTTAATAGTAACTTAGGTGAACGTATGTCCTAGCAGTTCGGTACTTTATGGTATCAGTTTTTGATGAAAAATATTTTAAAAATTAATTGAAACATTCGAAGATCTTATTGCATCCAAGTGTTTGCGGAATAAATCAAAAACAAATTTCTTTGAAAGAAAGTTTGGATCTTGCGGCTTACACCTAACTCATAAAAAAAAACTTTTGAAAAGTTAAAAATGAAACGAAAAGACTATATTAGGCATACAAATTCGAAAAACTTCTACACTATTTTAAACACTTACACCAAAAGAATTTGCTGATGCTTCAAAAGATTTATTTTCATTAGTTGAGAAATTTGTATTACAATTGGTTGGTGTTTTCTCATGAATTTTCTTTTCATCATAAGCAATATTCCCATCGGAAATTCCTCTATCGCCTAATATATACGAACGATTAGTTTCTGGAGTAGAACAAAGTGTAGGGTTTATTGCTTGAGAGAAATCTCCCGAAGAATTATGTAAAGCGGAATAATCAAAAACTGTATCTTGTCCACGAGATAAAGATAAACAAGAAGGATCTAATCCACCATCGGTTGGAGAGTGATCATCTGACGATTCCTTAATGAATAAATAAAACAGAACGAATAGTTTAGTAAATAGATCAAAAAGTTAGGGAAATTGAGGAAAACAAACAATAAAAAAATATTTACAACTACTTACACTTTCCATAGTAATATTTTCTACACGTTGATTAACCGTTTCAGATTCCTGGTTGTAGTTAGATTTATTGGGTCTATGCATTCCAAAAATATGCTTTGAATTAGATCGTCGTCGAATATGCGCAAATCGTTTGGCGAAACGGCCACCAGCTAAACTCATCATATGACCACCACCTCGTTGAAGGAGTGAAGAATCAGTGGAATGCAAAGGTCCAGAATCAGTAAATGTTGTCGTAGGTGAACCTGGTAGTGCGGAAAATCTCTCTAAAGGTAATAAATCGGACTTTCCAGAAGATTTCTCGAATGGGTTTTGAAAGCTTACCGATTTACCAACTGAAGCTAGCATAGATCGTAGATGTATAGTATCCGGTGATGTATCAGTTTCACTTTGGGCAAGTAACTCTCTTTGTAGGCGTTTCAACAATTTCGCTCCAGCATCCTAAAAATGACGCAACAAAAACAGATAAATTATTTCGCCGTCTACAATGAGAGTTTAAAGTATATATATATATATATATATATATATATATATATATATATATATATATATATATATATATATATATATATATATATATATAGTAGCATGTCTGCAGGTAAATACTCTATAGTTCAAAACAAACTAAATCCAAGTGAGAGTAGAAGTTGCATATATAAAATACATACAATTGTGCAACAAGATAAACACATTTATTTACGATAAATTAATTGAGTAGGTAAATAATGATTAAAACTGTGAGAAGTCGTGTATCTGGACTAGTAGAATGTATATCAGTACAATTTATAATAAATAAATACTGACATAATCTTTGAACTCATCAATTATATGTTTTACTTTTTTTCAAGGTGAGTGAAATGATAAAATTATGATAACTTCCATTAAGATAAATTTATATTGTTGTTGCTATTAATAATAATGGTATTATTATTATTAGAGTTACGTGAATAAATTTTCAAGTGATACTAATCTAATATTTTTAAATAAAGATTTTGCATTAATTTAATAACATTTATATCAATTTCATACAAACTACGTAACATGTAAATCAAATGTGTCAAATATAATTACTTCGGCAAAATGAAACAAATTGTGGTGGTCACAAATAATACACACGTGAACAGATAATGAACTATGCAGATAAATAAAAAATATTTTCACTGGACAGCCGTTTTGTCCTAATATGAGACTCCTCAACAAAATATTACTAGGAATTATAAAATTACTTAGCTTAAACTAATTGAGTTCAATGAGCAAATAATATGTTGACAGTTGTTAATTAACTTATTTTGTATCATTATACAGTAAGTGGAACATAAGAAATATGAACCACATATACAACCTTCAATATTATTTAATTAATGATATGATTTTGAGTAACAGACACTCAACACATAGACAACAGAGAAGACAATTTATGCGATATTGGATTTTTAAATATGTCAAGAACGACAGTCATAGCAGAATATAATGAATACAAAGTATTTTGCAATTCATATTGTTTTCATTCTAATTAAGATTTAGGAAAAGAACCAATTGTATTATATTGCCTAGATTCGAATTGACATATTTTAAAAGGACAAGATAATCTTAGTAAGAAAGGATAATTTGCAACAAAACAGAATGAATACATTTAAAACATAAATACCAATAGTGACTGATACTGTGTGTTTTAAACAGTTCACTGTTACCTCGTAGATCGAAATAAAAAATTAGACAATTCATGATAGCAATGACAGTATTCGTAAACCGAAGATATGTAACTTGAGTGAAATGATGCATAACTTTCTATACATCTGATCAACCTACGTCGTAATAAATTTACAAGTTCGAGAATTTATTTATGTTCGTCATAATTTGAAGCTAACTAATGGTAACTGATCATCCATCAAATGATGAGTATCTATCATGTAAGCACTATACCTAACGTCATCTAAGTTAAATGACTGCATCAACTAGCAGAAGTGAATAGAGAGTTTGTAAAAGTGATGAAATACATTGAATACACGGCAAAACTGCCTCACTCTGTTTAACATTATTTATTCCCTAAAAGCATAACCCTTAGGGTATTTCAATTTTAGCTTTATAAGTTTAAGTGTAATGTGACATTTAAAAAATACCAATATCTCACCCGAAAAGTTGAAAATTCTTTCTATAACGAAAACAGAAGTGAGTCAGGTACTTCATAGAGCGACAATACTATAGAATTCGTTTATATTTATTACAAGCATATATTCTGGAAGTCCTTTGGTCAAATGAATGAGTAAGATGAGTTTTGTTGGGACCAACAACTGTTTCTGTCTTTGGTGAGAGTTCGAACCCTATGATGAGCATCAATTCCCTAAAGATTGAGGACATATCTTGGGGTTGGAAGAAAGTTAGGGGCGGCCAAACCAAAACGTGGCATCAGTGCCTGAAGTCACTAACTTCTAGTCTGAGCCATGTTGGTAGATGCAGACTACTTGGTTGGGGTCCGCGTGACTTTCGTAACCAATGGTTGGAGACCCTTGGTGACATGGCTCAGAATCGATCACAATGGCGTCGGTGTATACACTCTCTGTCTTCTCTTTAACTAAGAGATTAAGATCACTTCACATCTTTCTTTCTACGAACTAATTCTTTCTTCCTATACTATATCCTTATTGCAATCTTTCTCCTATATATTACCACCTTTGACCTAACCACTCCTATGAATCCAGTGTTCATCTTGCTGTGCTAATGAGGTATGGCAACCTGGGCCGATGCATACATGTGCCTGGTCCTACGTTGTAGCTGACTGACTGACTGATATCTTGGTGACGAGTGACAACTAGGATGTAACCTAGGTTCCAACGTTTACTGGGGATCATATATATTACGTATAACACAACAACCTTAATATTGACACGTCAATACACATTTATAACGTCTTTACATGAAGTAACTACTTTGTAAAATTAGAGTTCCTAACAAAATCTGCTGTTGAAAATCCATGTTATTAAAGGACTAAATTTATTTAGTGTAAATGACGCTATAAAACTTTTAATTGGAGAACACAATGAAAATAAATCATTAAGAAATTTGCAGACAAGATAACGGAGTAAAATAGTAGAAGCCCAGTCGCTCAAGATTTTAATTACAACATACTGTGAATGCATAAAGAGAAGTAAAATCTACTTCTTTGTCTTAATAAAACTGTGAATATCTTTAAAAATCTAGTAAATATTAAGTTACGAATGAAGGATAATTTAAAAAGAGAACAGTAAAGAAAGACGATAATCTCTTGTTCTGTGTGAATCAGTGGATACCTATTAAGTAGTGTAAACTCATTATGCTCACTACAAGATGCAAAACCCAAGGTTTAATACTGTATAATGTGTGTGAACGAGCCCTAATGAGAAAAATTCAAACTAGAATGGAACAAATATCCAAACGGTTGAAGGGCTTTATTCATTCTTCATTTGATGTCAATTTCTGATAAAAAATGAACTTTAAAATTTACAAATAAGCCATCACAAAACTATATCACAAAACAAATTAGTAGAGTTTATATAAATTTAAAACAACGAAAAACTTTAGTTAACTTACGGCACTCAATGTATCATCAGAGCTACCGGCTGTAGCGAAAAATGGTCGAAGTGTTGGTCGTGGTGTACTCTGAATCGAGACTAAATTATAACTTTCCGCATCTGAATCCTCTTCGATATCACTAGCTGTCGCTATACGATCAATTTCATCCCATAATTTCGATGTTGTAGCCACATCTAAATCAACCTATTAAGTTAGAATAACGTGGTTGTTTTTGCGAAGAATAGAAAAGAAAGAGATGTAGACATAAATGAAGAAAAATAAACATGAGAATGTTATTTTTTTAAGAAAAAACGAATGACTGAACAGAAAGTAACATCCATTTAGCTCTATAGGTTTACACTTAGAGTATATTCGGAAGTTTAGATTTTAATTCATTTATGAAAACAGTTATTTACAATTTAAGTAAGAAAATATTGTTGTCACTTTCATATAAATGTAATAAATAGAAAAAGTTCAGTTATGATTATTTAGACTAACATATTTAGCATAAACTAGTAAGGGAAAAATTAGAAATGATAGCATTTCATAAAGCGAAGATTATAATACAGAAAAGTGAATTACTATTTTAAGTAAATGAAATGTGAACTAAACAATTAGAAATTACCGTAATTATAAAATGGATCATTTTTTTCATTTTAATTTCATTACATAGAAATTAGCATACATTATTTTAAAAATTGATCTTATGGCAAGTTTTGCATAATAGAAGTATTCTTTTTTCGGTCAAGGACAAATTATTCTATCATGTATAAAACGAATGTTACCAGAAAACTCGGTAAAAATAAAGTACTGTTTACAAACACTCTGTTACCTTTATGACATTCAAAGATAAAGATGAGTGAAACAAGAGGTGTTTCTTACTTTATTTATCGAAAACATAAGATGATTTTAATTTTCTTTCTAAGTAATAAGGTCAGAAATATTTGCGATTACAAAAGATCTTAATGTGAAAACAAAACGAACAAAACTGTATTTTGTAAACACCTTCATCCCAAGATCGGCTACGTATTCTTATCCAATTTTATTAGCAAGACTTTAAACAAAAAATTAATGAATATTTACCAACTACAGTAACCAACGGTGACATGACTAAGAATCATTCGCAATGGTCAAGTGCATTTATTTTTAGTCTTTCCTTACTTCTTGAATTCCAAAACCTTCTTACACTTTTTTGTTCACTTAATATTTTCTACGACTACTACTGATAGTGTTACTACTTTTACTACTCTGGGATTTATCGGGATAACTTTAACTCGCTATGCTGATATGGTGTAGCAACACTTGAGCAGTCCCATACATCAGGTTCTACGTTGCATATTACTGAAAGACTGGACTACCAAGGTAATCAGAAAACTGTTCCATATGAAAAGAATAACAATAGATTCACTGACTTGATTGAGGACAATCGATGTCGTTTAACAGTGTTACAGTAAAATTTGTAACAATAGCACAGGATTACTTCTGATTAAAATTATACACAGAACTGTGATGCTAAGTTTTTTTAACAATCCACAACGAATTCCACACAAGAGGTCAAAATTTATAGTTGAATAGTTATCCATATTTGATGAGCTTTTACATCTAAAGTGAAAACTTCCGCCATACTGAGAAAACTATACAAAACGCATGAACGGTTGATTTGCATAAAACAAGTGGAGTTTTCCTAACATCAAGATTAGGTTGATTACATCTACACTCTTAGCCAAATCCTTAAAAATCTTCATATGTAGTGCAGATGAATAATTATGATAATTTTTGAAATTATGGTTACTACCAGTTGTTCGAATTTGTGATTTAAAATAATCATTATAGAGGACTGGTATTCCAGAAGTTCAAAATCTTCAAGATCTTTTAGATCACATTACATAAAGTGACAGCATACAACAACCTAACTTCGACGTTTGAAAACAGCAGTATGACGAGGTGGATTTGTACAATCCTTACATTCTTTTGTTAATGATATTCAGAGGACAGAACTGGTAGAGGAGACTAGAGAGACACTTAAACCTTAAGTACCTAGTTGACACTGTCTGTTTATTTGATGATAAGTTGATGAATTCGCAGTTAGCTAGTTGACTATTAGCATACATTAGCATCGGAAACACAATGCATCATGAAAATTTGAAGTACTTCAACAAAAAATTTCAACACTGTTTTACAAGCCCACAAAAATAGAAACGTCCATGTATCTTCACAGCTGTGTGGTAGTAGAAATGTAACAGACTAAGTTAATCTATGTACAATAAAATTCAAAGCGACCTACAACATTCGGTGTCGTCATGACGTTAGTCTGATCACAAAAGATAGAGAATACAAAGCTACAGAGTGAACAGTTTGGAAATCAAACATCTCTGAGAATAGTGTTGCACTCTTGTTTCGTGTTTCTTACTTTATTGTCGTTCACAAATTAATGTCAGTTCTTGTTTTTAAGTCTTCCGATGCAATTGACATAACTTAAAAAATCAAATGGTGAAGCTCTATATCAGTCAGTCAGTCAGTAACAACGTAGAACTTCGTACGTACGTACATCAGTTCGAGTTGCCACACCACATTAGCACAGAGATGCAGTTGTCGATTCAAATCCCGTAGTGGTAGAGGTAATAAGAGTATAAGCAGTAATCGGGAAGATTAGGGTTTGGAGATGTTATTTAAAGAGTATAATCCAGTGAAATAAATTTGGAAAGAGGAAAAAAGGGACATGAAGGATTCAGAAGATTAGAATTTGGGAGAACACAGAGAGTGGATGCACCTGCGCCATTGCAAACGATTTTGAGCCATGTCATTCAGGGTCTCTAACCATCGGTTGCTATCATCTCGCGGTCCCCAACCAGGTAGTCTACACCTACCAACATGACTCAGTCCACTTGTCAGTGACTTCATGGACTTGTGCCATGTTTTGGTTTGGCCGCCCCTAGCTTTCTTCCAACCTACTCCTATACCACTGAACATAGCACGTCGAGGCAGTCGGTCGTTGGGCATACGTAACACGTGTCCCAGCCATCTCAACTGATGAAGTTTCACTACTTCATCAATTGATTTGCCATCCTTACCTAGTACCCGTTTCCTAACAACTGTGTTACTTACTCGATGGTCCCATGATATACGAGCAATGTTTCGAAGACACCTATGATCAAATACTAGTAACCTACGAATATCCTCTACTCTTACCGGCCATGTTTCACTGCCATAAAGTAGGACGGAACGAACTGCTGCGCAGTAAACACGTCCTTTGGTTGATAGACGGATATCTCGCCTACGCCATAAATGACGCAAGTTGGCAAAAGCTAGTCGAGCCTTCTGTATCCGTGCTGAGATTTCGTCACACACTAAACCACAAGGGCTGATGAGACTTCCAAGATAAGTGAAGCGGTCGACACACTCAACTACTTCACTCCCTATCACTAGTTCGGGTGTCGATGTAACCCAATCCTGAAGCAACATTTTGCATTTCGAGGGAGAGAATCGCATCCCGAACATGCTTGCATTGTTGCTTAGAGTGGTCAGAAGACTCTGCATTTTGTCAGCGTCTTCACCAAATAAAACTATGTCATCAGCATATTCTAAGTCAACAAGTGAACCTCCCGGTAGAAGTTCAACCCCTGGAAATTTAGATGAGGAGAGTGTTATCTCTAAAAGTACGTCGACCACAAAGTTGAACAAGAATGGGGAGAGTGGACAGCCCTGACGAACACCACTTGAGGTAATCAATTCTGATGACAGTTCGCCATAAGCTCTCACTCTACCAGTTGTGTTCGAGTAGAGAGCCTTTATAAGGTTAATGTACTTCTTTGGTACTCCTTTCAGTGACAAACACTGCCATAGAACCTCACGATCAACAGAGTCGAATGCCGCCTTAAGGTCGAGAAATACTACCATTGTGGGGCGTCTGAATGTGTGTCTGTGTTCTAGAACCTGACGTAGTGTGAATATCTGATCTATACAACCACGTCCAGGTCGAAAACCGGCCTGGTTTTCTCTAGTCTGCTCTTCACGAGCTTTGATTAGGCGTCGAAGTATTATTGAAGCTAATATTTTAGACACTATATTAGTCAAACTGATTCCTCTGTGATTGTCACAAGAGGACTTTTGTCCTTTCTTATAGACTGGCACAATCAGTGATTGAGACCAGTCAGATGGGATTACGTCCAGTTCCCAAATTCTACCTAAGACCTCGGTTAATCTCATTGCTAATACTGGACCACCATCCTTAAAAATCTCAGGAGTAAACCTGTCAGGGCCTGCTGCTCTCCCTCGTTTCAGATTTCCTATGGCTTTTTCAACTTCGTAAAGGGACGGAGGACCTACATTAACTTGCCATTCAGGTTGACTAGAGATCGTGGGAAACCGAAGTGTGGCTGAAGGCCAGTTGAACTGATCCCTAAAGTGTTCTGCCCATCGATCCAATCTCCTGGATTGAGAATGAATAATATGTCCATCTTTCTCTGAGATTGTTTCGCTAACGGTCGGGTTCCTAATTCCGGTTTCCTTAACGAGTCTGAACAATTGTCTGCTATTACCTATTGCCGCTGCCTTTTCCATCTCTCTTGCTTTCGCTACCCACCACTGTTCGCGATCATTGCGTAGACTTCTTGTCAGCTTGCGCTTAAGCTGACTCCGCTCTTCATTATGTTCAGAGCCAGGTGGAATGAGTTTCCGAGCATCTATCAGTGAGATAGATGCTGCTGAGATCCAGTGTTGCTCCCTAACCTTCTGGTTTACCTTACTAGCAGATATCACTGCTGTTTCCACAGCTTTTCGGATATCATTCCATGCTGCATCGGGGTGGGCATCACATACATGGCTGCCTAACTGTTTTCCTAGTTGTTCCTGAAATATACTCTTAGCTTGACTATCTATATGATTTTATATTGTTTCACAGTTTAACTTTTTCGTGTATACAATATGTCCCGAGTTGATAAATATAATTCCTGAGACTGAAGTAGAAAATTAGGAAAGAATAAACCACAATGAAATGTTTCCAAAATATATGCACACATACTATAAGAATTTTATAAAGTGATTGTGGAAACTTAAATAAATAATGTTAGACGGAAATAAACTTATAATAAATGACGTAGATAGGTTGTAGAAAATCTAGCTTGGGATATGTACATACACAATTAAATACACGATAGAATAGAATAAAGTAGGTCTAATGATCGATTAAACTTTGTACAGTATATGATTATATAAAAATTCTGGTATTCCTAAACACACATACATACATACATACAGACTAAAGGATTGTTTCGTTTACTGTTAGTAAACTTAAGACTAACATATTCGCTTACGGATAAAAAAGTAATTATCATTCGTTTCTTTTAAGTTAGAACTGCCCAAAGGAAAGAATGTTGATTTATAGAATGTGATTCTTGCTCTCATATTGACTAAATTCAATGAATGAATAAGTAAACGCATATATATTGAAAATATCTACGGTCAATTAAACAACGGAATGAAATACATAAAGGTTATCATTAAAAATGTAATTGGTTATTCGTAAATAAATAAATAAATAGAGATGGATTAAATAAATGAGATTAAGACAATGCTTATTATAATATTTTATAACTCACCTCATTAGGATCACTAATTTTTAATTTTTTCAGTAAACCAATTAATTTTTGCTTAATTTGCTTTTGCTAGAAAAAATTTCAATGAAACATTTAAAATAGGAAATGAAGTGAAAATTTTAAAATGCATATTTGATGCATATTTTCATAAGATTTAATATAATCAACTTTATGTGTACATGTAAAATTTAGTCATAGTACATGTTTGAAGAATTTATCATTAACGAATTTCCACATTTCTATCAGTAATTGTAATTCCTTAAAGACATTAAAAATTACCCGTAAATATTGAAATTAAACTTTATTACAGACAGTTGTTAAATTTAACCATTCACAAGACAGTCAAATATGATGTAAGATAAATGTAAAGTGTTTTTCTTAAAACTCCTTATATGTATACGTTTATGAGTGGTAAATATAAACCTATGTTCAATATAGAAATCCCTTTTTAATATCTAGTATTTATAATTTTGTTAATTAGCAATAGTATCAACAGATCCACATTTGTTGGTGGAAATGTAAAAAATGAAAATATGAACCTGTGGATGCTCGATTTAATGACTCAGTATTTACTTATCCTGGGGTTTGGTTCAATTTCAAATGAATTTTCTCTGCTGCTTAATCAGTAATTAAGATAGAACAGTTTTATAATGGCCGATTCGTATCAAAAACCATAGTAGGGTTATATCAATCATCATAAATCACTATTACAACGTTAATTATTTTAAACTAACCAAATAAGCATATTTTCTCGATGGAATTATCTAATATTTTGTTAGATAAGAATTTAATTAAACAGTAACACATTCATCAATAAGGTTAACGTCTAACATGAGAAAATTGACATTTTAGATAAACAATAAAACAAACACAGTTTGGATATGTAACAATAGCACAATTCCCAGTAAAATATACGGAAAATTTTAAGAGAATAGTCATAAGTGTAATTATAAGAATAATTAAATTGAGATATGATCATTATTCATAGGTAATAGTTTTAGCTATAAAGAGCAGTGTATATCTTTTCTAGCTCGAATACTTTTAATAAAGAAAATTCGAAATCCTTTTAATATAATATCAAAGAAACATTGATCTAAAAAACAGATAATTTACAATGTTTTTGTCAATGTACACTCCAAAGTAAATTTTACAACAATTTTATGTATGGATCATAGAATAATATGAATTTGTATAATAGAATTTTACTATATGGAATAAGATTTAAGATTTTATCCCTTTATTCAGAAACTAAGTGTTTAAATTAATGAATCATAGCGTGTAAGCACACTGATGGAAAATGATTCCTTTATTTTTTACTTTTAAAAAAAAGTAAGGCGTTATCATATTTGCTCTGTTAGCTACACGAGAACACATGTATATAGCCTTTGTTTTAGTTAACTTGGTCACAAAAATATAAAATAGTAAACAGTTAAATATTAGATAAGTTAATTGACTCAAATATATTGTTATGATTTTACTTACATTTACACACTTTTAAGAAAAGAAATGTAGATTAAGAAAAAAAAATGATATTTTGATTTCTTTTTTTTACTGATACACTACAAATGTTTGGTATGCAAAAGATAGTCAAAAAATGGCTTGATAACCAATATATTACCGTATAAACAAAAACAAAGAAACCTTTGTGATGTTTCCAAGTGAATTTACAAACTTTTTTTAAGAAACCAGTTAAGATTTACTTATAAATTATCATACTGGAATATTCTGAAGATTTATTCATACTCGATATGAGTTCTGTAAGCTATGATGCGATGCTGCTGAGATACGACTTATCAACTAATTGGTGGTCGTAAAAGACATTCTCACTAATATCATAACGTCAGAAATCGGTGAGGTTGTGAACTTTCATCGACTGTCGGGTGCATTACCCATGACCTGTTCCCAGCATCCAGATAATGTCTCGGCTAACGTGGAAGTAAACTGAATGTTAAAAACTGTTGGATCAAGATACGTAATGTTCAATTTCCCGTGGAAGGCTGATATTACGCTCGTTTATTTAAGACGAACGGGGAAATTCCAAAATGCATACAATTCCCCCACACTAACACCAGATACCCAGACAACATAAATAATCTCTCCTACGTTGAACTAACTCAGATCAAGAATGTATTATCAGCCTTACTAACAACCATATATTAAAACAATTAACAAGGCTAGGAAAATATACAATAAGATACACAAAACTGTCTGTCCACGTTGCCTAACCAAACATAGTTTATAAAGTTTATGAAGTCAATTACCAGTGTTTGGAGTAGTATCAGGAGAGGCAGACAACTGCGTTAATATCCACGAGATAGGTTTAATATGTTGTTTAAATAGCATCATATAGATATAGATCACAATGATGCAAATGGATCTATTCTTCATTATCCTCACAATCTGAAGCTATTTTATACTACTCCCCAATTCATTTTTAACTATACTCTTAATGCTTAATCTTACTAGTGCTGACTTTTATAGTGTGAAATTTAATTTGAAGTGAATTGTGTAAAAATTAATTAATATATTTGTATCAGGTTGTATGTCTTTTTATGGCCGACTGAATATTCGTAAAACAATTCAGATACTAAAATACAGTTACATAAATTAAGTTCAAAATCAACAGCTAACAACAAAAAAGAATAGAATGTGATTTGGTCACAATTTTATACAATAACCTAAACTTAAATACTAGAAACAATTGTTGGAAGTGTATGTTGTACTAAAACAGTAAACACATAATAATTACAAATATAAATCACATATATACGAATAGGTACTTACACCAACAGACATAGCTTTAACAAGCTTTTTTTGACGACTATGTCCAACTATTTCACACTCAGCTATCTGATCGTCATCACTTTCTTCAACGTGATCTGAATCCTCTTGTTCACTATAAACATCTGGTATAGGATAATCTTCATCTTCATCTACAACTATAAACAGAAATGTCAGTAAAATTTAAAATAACCAGAAGAAAAGCCCATCAATTTATCTAGTAATAAAATTAAAGCCCTGTTTATATATTGAAAATTAGATTGACAATAATATTTATTTCGTGGTTTGTGAAAAGTTTTTATTACAGGATAAAGTTAGCTGGTGAATGAGAAGCACTAGTCGGTTATTTTAATCCCGATTTGAGACAATGTGCCCTTGTACTCATCAACGAAAAGTTAAGAAATGGATTTTCCATGGTTTTTTGTAGAAAACAGTAGTTAGTGAATTCGAACATGCCCCCAGATAGACGGTTAGTTATCCACCAGAAAAATGAATAATAACTGAGCTACATTTAGAGTTCACTGAAGTTGCCGTGTGGACTATTTTACTCCGAGTAAGCGCGTTGGTTAATGCTTGAGTACTGATTACGAGACGCAATGGAGCTGATATTGTGTGAGGTCATAGGTACAGACTGGCAAGGGTCCCCGATTTAGAACGAAACAACTATTGAGTGGCTTCTCGTTTTCCTTTGGTTCTTCAGTTGAAGTCAGTTTGTAACGAGATTTTTATTCTAATGATAAATAATTTTGTCCGCCTATATGTTATGTGCTAACATAAGTGAAATTAAATGGAAATGTTTCTATAAGAAACAAATGATACCTTGACAGCGTCAATTTATTTATTAATTAGACTACATACCATAGAAAACACCGAATAAAAGATATTCTGAACAATGAATGATTGTTCCCTCCTACAAATATATAGAATGTTTAAGTATCTATATACAGTGGTTGTAGGGACATTAAGACAGTCAGCATCTATTTGTGGACTAATACTATACATATATTTATGTACCTCTTACTATAAGTTCCTAATTGGTTACTGTTATATGATTTACTATTCTCAAGTTATTCTTAATCTATTAGTCACAGTTCCTTATAATCACAGCCACTTTTGGCTTGATCTTGTATAAATGTTACTTCTCTTTTATGGTGTGATGTGGTCTGATTTTACTTGTATATAAACCAATTATATTTGAAATATATGATTCATATCGCGGAGGCTGAAATTGGTGTTCTAGACTTAACAGGCACGACTAGGCGAAAAAAGGACCGATCAGAAACCTAGGCCGCTCATACGGATGTATACGTCATTATTCGTGATATCGTATAGTAAGGACATAACAGTGTGAAAAATGAAACTACACATTTTTATTGTACATAAGTGGTCATGTATTCAGGTCGCAATGTTAATCATTTTGCTTAGAAATTACAATTAACAAACAAATTCAAAATCATTTCTAAGCATAAATCTATAAGGATAAAATTTTGCTTTCCTTTGCAGTTGACCGATATGGTAGGAATATTAGAACAACTGTTGTGTAAAATAAGGTACTAGGCATTAACTTTGAAATAATTCCCGTCATGGATAGACTTCATCTGGAGAAAAATCGAAAATAACGGAGCGCCGGAAAGCTGTGACATGCTTATGCACAACGTAATAACCAAAAAATAAACATGACTAGATGAAATAAGTGGTTGGAAGATACGAGCTTGTACGTCACTCACTCTCCAATGAATTATGATTTAACTGTTACGTCTCATTCTCTCCCATAATTATATTAAGAAAATTTCTTGAGGATTCATCGGTTACGGTGAAGCAACAAAAGTGGTCAGGAAAGTTAGCATTTTTAAGACCACTGACAAACCACTACATTGAAAAATTTTTATTCATCAAACCTCTCTTCGTATTAAAGACTCTGAGTATTATACACCCATTTAACAATTGAGCACAGAACAATGGAATTGATAAAAGAATAATTATATTGGATGGTTGCGAAAAAATCTTCAGTAAGAAAGTCGTGTATTGGATATATGGAATATTTTGATCACCAATGTCAATAAAGCATACTACTATATATGCTTTAGTAAAATGTTTGTTCAGCTGAGTTAAATCAACTTTGAAATGCATTATTTTTCTTTCATCAAATTATCACTTCCACATAAGAATCATTTTATTTGAAGGAATAGAAATGGATAAATTTCTATTTATTCAAAGACCAAAATCTTCGTTTAACTATTATTTTTTTTATCCTCCCAAAATTATTATAACTCAAATATCATGACATATTTTTGAACCGATGTTTAAATACTGCCATTTAATTGATGTGCGCAAATAATATTCCAAATATTAGTGTATACAATAATTCACTGATAATATGTAAATATTTCAGATTAAAAAAAAGCTGGATTAGGTTAGTTTAAGTCTTTCTTTTTCCTGAAAAAAAGATTAGTTGGTAATAGGGTATGTAGAAAGTAACGAAAAAGGTTGTTAATGTATGAGAAGTATGAGAAGAACCAAATGTATATGGTGCAAAAATTCCTACAATTAAATAAGGTTAACAGCTGAAAGGAATAGATGAAAATTTATGACATAGTTATTCAATTAATTAGTACAGACTTTACGAAGGATCATATATAAATTCTAGTGTGATACAAAACAATAAAGTAGGATGAAAACGGTTCAGTAACGAATATTCATCAAGTGGATAATTATATTTACCAACTCTTCTATAAATGTTTTACCGTTTATCAATTTTAAGACTATTGAACAACTTATACTCTATACTTCAAAAAATGTTCATTTGTAAAACTTAGTTGAGTGACAATACAACATCACTTTACCTTATTATAGCCACGAATGCTTAAAAAATTAACCATAATTATCATGTACATTTCAAGTTAATGACATCATAGAAAAAAAATTTTCCCCATTGAATCAGATCCATTTTACTCAATGACACAAATGGTTTCTTTCATTGTTTTAAAGGTAAAAAAAGTTTAAAACTTCAGCAATATAACTAACGAACAACTTGATTTGTTCCAACATGACAATATTGAAATTGGATCTCAAATCTCAACGTGTATTGATAATTGTCTTATGATATTTGGAAATGATTTAGAAAAGGCAAGAATTTATGCATTTATGGATACTATTTATCCCAAATAATAAAGCTTATTGCTGTAATTGAAATAGTAAACCAGTTTGTTTGAGTATTCCGTGATAGCGCGTATTTATTAAAACAAACAGTAAATTTCACAGCAAAAAGAGAAGGCTAATATTAAAATGTAGAACATGAGCTTTCCTATTAAGGACTTATGATATACTTATTTAAAAGAAAAACACATCACTTGTGGGAATTTCTATATAGTGAATGTGATGTCGATTAGCAATAAATTTAGTGGGTCATTTAATGAAAACAAAGTTAAGTCTAACTAAGGTGTTGCTGTTTTTCAAGTGTCAAGTTCCAAATAGGATGATTACAATGTAACACGCTAAAAATACAATATCGTAGTATAATCAATGAAATAAACCACAGGTTTCTTCAAGGAACTATCTAACTCAGCACAAACATTCATGAAAATGCATGTAAATTCAGTCGTCGAATTGTCAGTCTAAGATCTTAGTAACACCACAAAAAACAGGTGAGCAAAAATTAAAATCCCTAAAGTATATGTTTAATGAAGGATAGAAAAAACACTGGAAAATAAAAAGTAAAGTGGGGTAGAAATATAAAGGATAAGGAAGGAATAATAATAAGGTAGGGATAAGAGATATCTTCGTATTTATGAAAACCAACGAATCGATATTAATAATTGTAGAATATAAATCATAATACTAATAGCAATAATAATAATTAAAAACCCTACTAACCTTTACGCTTTCCGTTTAATAAATCTTTTTCAATAGGTAAACTTGATAAGTATAAAACTTCGATTCTGCCAATTGGATGAGTGGAACACTTTGGATCGGTATATAAATCTAAAAATCGATTCTCGATACGGCGTTGTAAAACCTTATTTTTTTCAAAAAAGAAAAAGAAAATATACTGCAACACAGAAATCTTTCTTTTCAAGGAACTTTCAAGATAACTTCCATAATATTTTTTAATTAATAAGTATTTAAACAGAGAGAGAAGATTTACAAAACTATAGTACGTTTTCGGCAAATTAATACACTTTGTTGCCGACAATATATATATATATATATATATATATATATATATATATATATATATATATATATAAACATTAAAATTACATCAAATGAAAGCATAATGAATATAAATTAAAGCCAAATAAATGTAAGTCATCAAAGAGGTGTACACATATTAATGAAGTTATAAAAGGCTACTATCATACATTAAATGACAAAAAAACTGATAAAATCTAATCATTTTACTTTCAACTAAAACCATTTTTGAGTAATAAAGGTTTAGTTTAATGGAGAAAAAAGATGTCAGATGAGTAGAAATAATAAAATAATAGCCAGCCTAAATATAGTATATTCATTCCATTTTTACTAAAAATCAACAATCGGTGCAAATACATATACTGTGGCTCAGAAACTTAAACATTTAACTACACGTCTCAGTTCAACTAAGTCGTTTGGATAACATGATAATATCAGTGGATGTCACGCCCACACGCACATGCACCAATGTTGCAAATTACAACTAGATATACATGGATAATTAATTTAGTCTATTCTCTACGTAGCCAAGGATATTTAGTCTTAGTGGTATATCTGGACATTTCTAAAGCCTTTGACATGGTTAGCCACCAACTTCTTATAGGTAAGCTCGCATCTTATGGGGTTCAAGATCCTTTGCTTGCTTGGCTTGATTCCTTTCTGAGTAATCGATATCAAATAGTTAAAATTAACTCTTCATTGTCTAACGCTGTCCCTGTTAGAAGTGGTGTAATACAAGGTAGTGTCTTAGGCCCTTTGCTCCTCTTAGTGTTTATCAATGATATTTGTGAAAGTTTTTGTGTCGGTAAGCCACTTTTATATGCAGATGATCTTAAAGTAGTATATTCATTTTCTCCACATGAGCCGAAAAATATGCAAAATTGCATCAACATGGAGCTTAACAAGGTAGCACGGTGGTGCTTAAAATGGCAACTGGAGCTTAATACGGCTAAATGTGGATGGACATGCTTCGGCGATACACTACCCAACCTAGACATTACCATAAATGGAGAAGTGTTATCTAGGTTACATACAGTAGTAGACTTAGGACTTAGATACTCCCAAGACTTATCGTTTACAGAACAGATATTAAAACAGACCTCTAAGTCTCAACGTCTAATAGGTTACATAACTCGAAACCTTTACAACAATGAGTCACGTATTCTAATGTACAAAGTTTGTGCTCGACCTCTTCTAGAATATTGCACGTTTATTCTTAGCAGTGGGCGCATAAAGGATAAATTAAGGCTGGAATCAGTACAGAGACGATTTACACTTCGTATTCTTGGAGCTGATTGTACCTTAACTTATAGTTATAGATGTATTAAACTTGGGCTAGATCCCTTATGGAAGAGGAGACTCAAACTAAATCTTATCTTTTTCTTCAAACTACTTCATAAACTATCGTTTACATCCAATCATGCGATTCAATATGCAAGGACTTCTCATTATGACATCCGTAATTCCTTGGCACTAGTGAAACAAACTCATTCCGAATCATCTTTTTATATGAATTACTTCACCTGTAAATTTTCTAGACTCTGGAATAACCTACCACAATCTATCCGCACGATAAAATCACTCCCATTATTTGTTCGCTGCATCGATGTATACTGCTCCTCTGAAAATGCATTGAATGGTCTAGCACCTGTAAGTGTATCTCATTCCACAAGTAGTATTATAGGTACTTTAAATGTTTAGCCATTTTTTATTAGTGCATTCCCTAAGTAAAACCACTTACTTGCTGTCACTTTATGGTAACACCGTCCCCAGAAAGTTTAACTAATTTGAATAACACCAACAGTATATCACTGTATCACATGACACACGCATTTAGGTAGACCTGATTCATATATTTTGGTAATTACTTTTTTGTTGTTCCGTGCTCTCTGTTTTCGTTTTAATTTCTCTAGTTGTAGATAATTATCATTAATTCGATCTGGCACACGAAATGACCTTAATTACTCCGTCCATAAATCAACGGTGTTGTGGATGCGGAAGAATAGACCAATAATTATCATGTTAAGTCCAGTGGTGTCCTTGGACTTTAAATGTACATTCCCTATTGGCTATTATTTAATTCATTCGTTACATATTGCGTAAATGTTGTTTTCTATTTTTATGGTACGCTGTGGTATGCTTGACTAGTATATAAACAAAGTATGTTTGAAATATAGTGATTCATATTTCAGAGGGTTGTGACTTGTGTTCTCCACTCAACTGGGCTAGGACAGACAGCGGGGCAGGGCCAATCAGGGCACTAGGTCGTCCCTTACGTGTTTTACGTGTCACTCTCATCGAATCGATCAATAAACGCTGCTTATCAAGACCTGCAGTCTCACACCCGTTATAACAAACGGGCTGTCCATTTAAGAAATAGTAAAAATTCCCGGCTGATACATGTACTGAACTAGTATACTTAAAACTCACTTCTATCACATGTTTGTTTTGTACATCTAATGTTACTATTTATATCAAATTGATCATGCCTGTAAACTGGCGTGAATTCTGTAATTATTATTTTCAGAATATGAATTATTATTATATTTTAACTAGAATCATGAATCGATCAATGTCGGACCATTATTGAGAACCTAGAAGCACTGGACGATCGTTTCGTCCCAGTATGGGGCTCCTCAGTAGAAAGCATCCACGATCCTGCACGCGGGGTTCGAACCGATTTCTTCACTGTATGACAGATGATTTGGGTACCCAATTTTCAAGCTTGGAAACATCTAGTACTTACGAATCACTAAACATTAATATTATTGATTCTTACACTATCACTAAAGTCAAAACTGTAAGTCTTAAAAATCGGTACACGACGAAAATACATTAAAAATGAATCCAGCTAGCTTTAAATAATGTAATTTATAGAAAGACTGGTTTAATGAATACCATAATAACTTGAGATCTCGTACAAACCTATTTGAGGTTGACAGACATAAAAACATAATGCTTCGAAGCAAGAATCGAAAAAGTTAGTTCATATTGTCATTAACTGAGTATTTAGAGAAAGATTAAACATGAAAATGTGTTATCACTATACGATGACTAATTATTAAGTATTTTCATAAGACATTTTCCCTTATGATTTTATTCCTGTTCTATACTATGAGTAATTATTGTTGCAGTTGTCACAGAATACCTACTTACTACTAATTTATGGGTGTTGATAATCAACGCTAACGTCGATCACGTACACAAAAAAATTAAACAATCAGACGGTGATTTCCACGATGAGACTTAATTTCCATTTATCCTCCTTATTAGGCGAACATGACACTACAAGGTCAGCATTATTAGGGTGCCTCAAACAAACATTTCTAGATTACTATCCATTTAATATAAAGACAATTGGAAAGTTAATTGCAGTATGAATGAACACCTAGAATAGTACCATTACCAATAACCACCTTTTTTTTTCAAAACTAACTCGATTATCTGGAAAAAATAGACAAGGAAAGTTAGAAATGAAGGTCGGAAATAGAATTCCAAATACCTACAAATTTTTTGAAAATCAACTAAATATCACTAGGATTTAATTGATGGGAAGTAAACAAAACTATAATAAAATCCGAACTGAAAAATGAAAGTGGAGAACAACTTCATGATAAAAAAACAATAACAATATGAAACACAGATCATTTAGAGAAAATAAGTTATAAAAACACTGGAACAATATTATAAGCAGTAAACTATGAGTTACTTTTAATCAAATATATATACTGGTTGATAGTAGAAGGATATAATGAAAAGTCATTGGCGATAAAAAAGGATGACAGAAGGAATATGAAGATAAACATCAAAAAGTAAAAAGTTACAAATGAGTACTACAATAGCAATAGCAATGATAGATTTTTACCGCGTCGTAATAAGTAAACACTTGAGGTGACCTTATTTGTGAAATGGTGGGTTATTGGTCAGTGTTCGAATTTCTAACAACAGCCCTACGTAGATTTAATATCGACTTCACCTGATTCGGTTTGATCGACCAAGAAGTATTACCTTAAACAAAATATATCGCTAGACGTTTAATAAATGTATCTGAATTTGGCGATAGGGTTGCATTACTTATTTTCAACGAAATTATTGAAGAAAGCTATAATCAAGCAGTACTCATTTTAAAATTGTACTTGACAGTATATGTTTACAATATTAGCAAAGTTGTCGGTAGATAACTGCATAATAATGAGCTACGTTTACTAATCAACAGGATTTTTCAGTAAGTTGAGACGGATAGATGACATGAATGTAATTAGTGAGTTAATTTATCAAAAAGAAAATAGGTGTGCATAAGTCAAGTAATTGCCTCATTTATATGATCGAATCATTAGAATAACTAAAATTTATGAAGGAAGAATAAATAGCGTAATTTACGCTTAAAAATGCACGTAAGGGTATATACGCATTATCCGCGTCTTTTACCGTTCTTTTATGTTTTAAGATATAGCTTATTTATTATTTGAAAATATAATAGCGAATAATGAATGCACAGACTCAGTAATAATAATAAATAAGAGCTATTGAAAATAATGAATGTTATCAAAAGCAGTGCACTGAACATTTTGGATTTTCCCAACAAAGTGTATGTTTAAATGAAAATAAAAAGTAGTTCGTAGTTGATGTTAGTAGAATATTATCGTAAGCATAGATTCTAAATGTCAGTCACCAGATAAGTCGACAACCAACATACATCAACTTTAGTTATTTGCAAAAGCGTAAATTTCTATAGTTGGTTTTGAGCTCCGCTGTTCATGTGAGACCTAGCGTTGCCATCCAGCTGTCTAAATTAGGTTTGTATATACTAATAGATACAATTCACATTTACGTAAGATTATTCGCTTCACCCAAGGCGTATTTTGGACTCCTGAGAGCAATGAGTGTGTATCCTTGATTACAACCACTGGATGCTTAAGGTTTTATTTTTACCGCTTACATGACAACCTATCTCTTTTTATTACTACTTGTTGACCCTATAAGTTTTAAGTATATTTGCTTTCTGTACAAAATACATCAAACTGATCTTATTACCAATAAATGTGTATTACGATAAAAACAATCATAAACCAAAGGACACTTATGTTTCTGAGGCATTAAAGAGAAGAGGTTGAATACGTAAAAATGATTAGGATTTTTATGTAATACCCACAAATTCATAGTAGTCGATTCATTAACAGACAGTTTTTATTCCCTTTGGATCGCTATACACCATCGAACCCAGGATATTGACATAACACAGAGGGAATGAGAAACTTCGACCACTAGAACGAAATGTAATGTTTGATATAATTTTACACCTTACCACAATGCATCTAATGTTATTAGAAATCCCCTTATTTCATGGAAATACTTTATAAGATGAAATCAGATAATCAGCATTTGTTGGAATATAGAAAAACTCAAGATTTAATAACACTATATATATGGGAATATTTTAATTGCCGAGCATATAAATATATACATGGTTTGTTATGGGAAAATTAGAAGGCCTTCAATATATTTATGTATATTCATGGATGAAAGTAGGTATTGTTCAACTTATATAATAAAATTAGTGCATTAGTATTTTGTCTTAATATAACATTGAAAAAGAAGCAATTAAATAAACATAGTAATTATGTAAATATGCATTAGAAAAGTTACGAAACCAATACTAAAATGATAAATTATTACCGACTGTATTAACAATGAAAGATCTATACTAATTACAGTCAAATATGCTTATATATATTAGTAAGAATGTACAGTGATGGAAGGAAATATATGACTAGGTGCATTTGCTTTGTCCCCATATTGGTGCAAAAACAGTTGATAATACTTTGAAAAAGGTTCATTCAGTGCAAAAATAGAGCAAAAATAATAGAAGTTACTATGTAAGGGGTAACATTAAATGTGACATATCTGTCTAATGTAAGACAAACTAAACAATGGAGTCATGGGATCATTCCATGCGAAGTTGCCCCGAATGCCCCGGTACGGCCGAGAATGGGGAGAGTCCGCTCTCCCTCTCGAAATGCTCTCACATGGCCACGCGTATATAGCCTCTGCCAGGGAAGTCCTACTCACTTCCTTCTCGTGGCGGGGGTGTTGTTTACGAAAATGAGAGGACGAAAAGCGAATGTCCGGCGCTTTAACCGGATTCCAAATCAATGGTGCACATGGGCTCCAGTATCCTGCGGGAACAAATGGCGTATGAATCAATCGTTGGTCACCAGCTACCATGGGACTGCATCTCCTTACGATGCTCCACTGCCTTGTGGATCAGACCTTCAGGTCGAAGGCTCAGGGAGTGCCCCCTAAGAAAACCACCTGCTTCGGTTTGGGCACCCGGGCAGTATCACAGCCCTCACATATCGAATGAGATTTTGGCGCATATGTTTTGGTGCCTCCTTGTACCAATATCTATGTGTTAAAATAATAAATAATACGTAGTTATATGCAAGGTAAGGGAAAAAGGAAGTTCTACAACCATGCTTTTATCGAATAATCACAAATCAAACAGTATTTTACTATACCCTTAAAAGTATTCCATTGTATTGTATAAGTTGCACAATCGACTATCCGATTCAAAAAAGATTATGATCATAATTCGCGTAATAAATAAGTTTTGCAAACTTGGTTTTAAGATATACTTTGTACAAGAACTGCCCTCAAATGTCCTGGTACAGACGAGAGTGGGGAGAGTCGGCTCTCCCTCTCGAAATGCTCTCACATTACCACGTGCATACAACCACTGCCAGGCAAGTCCTACTCACTGGCTTCTCACGGGATTACAGTTGTTTCCGAATTGAGAGTACGAAAAGAGAATGTCCGGTGCTTTAATCAGGTTGGTGACACGGAGAGTCCACCTAGAGGAGTTGGAAAACCCTGATTTTAAACCAATCGTGCATATGGGCTCTAGGATCCTAAGGGAGAAATGGCGTATGAACCCATTGTGGTCACTGGCTACCATGAGACTGCATCTATTGGCGTTGCTCCACTACCTTGTGGATCAGACCTTCAGGTGAAATGCTTCGGGTGTGCCCCCCTAAGAAAACCACCTGCTTCAGTTTGAGTACCCGGGCAGTATCCCAGCCCTCACACAAATTGAATAATTCATGTGGCGCATATATATTTGATTCCCGTTTGCACCGATATTTATGTGTTCAAATAATAAATTGTACAAGAACTAATGATACTACATAACTTCTTTAAATGAAATAAACGATATGAGGTTCGAAGATGTAAACTACGTGGTAGGATGTCAAATGCTTTGAATTCTGAACCACGAGTGTACATAGTGAGAAGTGTGTTATTTGGTAGTCTTTCTATTATGGATGGTGATGGAACCGAATGGTCTTACTTAAATGAGTTTACAATGTATTTAAGTACTAGCTTAATGAGTTGTTTTTTGGTAAATATTTTAAGACTAATGAAGCTTCCAAATCATTCGAAACAAACAGCTGACAAAGAGCTGTGTACACTCTAATCTAATCATTACTATTAAAACCTACGGATATGATAGAATGATTAGATTAAAAGATAGATTATCTAAAAGCCGGTTCAAAAAGGTTAGTTGTATCGACTTGAGAAAGCTACAAACCACAACTGGCAGCAGAAGTTATAAAAATCAAATTCAAAAAGCTTGGAGAACTCACTTGGGCAAGGCTGACATTACAGTAAGCAAGTGTCTTGTATCCTAAATTCACAGCTTTGCTTTTGTACTTTTTACGACGTTGGAGTAAAATTTGAAGCGTATTAGAATCACGAGTCAGGAAATGTGAATACTGAATATTGCACGTGAAGTCAATAAGAACCGAAACGCCACCGCCAACTAAGGATCCAGGTGTGTTGAGGGAAAGAGAACATCCTCCCTGACCGGTTGAGTCGCCGCAGCCAATCTCAGTCGGATTATGTTGGACATTGTTTGAATGAAAGTTTGCAACCCCATTTTGTGACTGTGAAGCACGTGGACAAATAAGAGTGATCTCAGGCGAACGTAAAACCCGACGAGCTGTACCACGCATTCGAACGACTACATAAAATCCTGTGTTTGGACATTCAGGTTCAATAGGCCTATCCAATATTATTTGCACCAAACTAAGGCTACAGAGTCTGAGAAAAAAAATTTTACCCGCATTGGAAAGATTTATAGATCAAAGCAAAAAATATTTTTGTAATTAAGACATCTGTAACTGTGAAATGAAAAATGAAGTAAAGCAATAAACCGGAGTAATAAGACAGAACAGAGATCAGTTGCAGCAAACTAATAGGACACTAAACAAGTGTAATTCCTCTAGTATGGGAAACTGGTAGTATCACTATCTGATGTGCAAACCGTGCTTATAGGTGAGTACATGAACCTTTACTGGTTACTGCAAATTAGTCACAATTCGAGATGTTGGTAAATACAATACTGATTAGATGACTAGACATATATGGAACAATCGTGAATACTGAATAAAGTTCGAACTGTTCAATATCAGGAAGAATATGTTAGTCTATTTGAGGAAAATGTAATCTCAAACTTTGCGCTTGCTCTTAGTAAACTGAGCAAGTCATAAGTGTGAACTTATTGGCGAGAAATGTGGAATAAAGTTCTGAAAGAATTCCAGTAAACTATAAGAAACTACACACATCCTAAATGCTTAGTGTTAATAAAATTTCAACGAAGGTGTGTCAAGTCGTTTTTTCGCCTTCAGATATAACACTAAAATTACGACAGGTATGTGCGGCTTTTAGTCGTACCAAGTACGTTTTCATAAATATAGTGCCCACTACCAATAGAAGAAAGTATGGCGGATATGAGAAGTGTTAAAGACGTGAAAGATGGGCAGATGATAGTTTAACTACGTGAGATATGACCATGTCTCAATCTTTTGCAGTTTTCTGTACACGACTAATATTTTATTTACGAACTGTTAACATGAAAGCATTATTTCAGTTATTGTATTTAGATAATTGGATCAAGCCATCCGCTTCATGTCTAAAGTATCCGAAAATCTGCAGTAACAGTAGGTTAAGCCCCAAATTATCCTTAGGTGATTGGTTTAAGCTTTAAGTACTTCTATTTCAAGAAAGTAAGAAACGAACAGCAATAATTTAAGTATTGAAGTGATTGTTTTCGTCCATTATGTCTCACATTTGAGAATGTAACAAGACGATGGCTTTTTGTTGAGGGTGTCATAAAATTTAAAATAAAACTCCATAGTGTTACTGCAAAAAATAATTTAGGCCTAGTAGACTTAATATTCTCTTCCCACAGACCGAGTTCGTATTGCACTGATTTTCTATAAGTGGTCTTTAACAAGAAAAAAACTGAATCACCTCGGAATGGCATTCGATGAAGACTTTTCAGCTTCCCATGAAGCAGACATTTTCATGGAAATCATCCCAACATTCGACATCGCTTAGATCTCCCGCCGCAAGGTCATCTGCGAGTCAGACTTGTTTACGCGCCTCTGTGGAGGTCATTTTCAAACCTACATATACAATACTAATTAATTGATTCTACTATGGTTTCTAGATGTTTTTGATTTGACATTTGCTTATACGATCAATATTTATAATATCTGAAAAGGCGTTTTTACTTTGATGTTGTGTATAGTGTAATCTTCAATCTACACGGAAGAATGTACATCCAAAGTCCCTTAAGGGATATGCATATATTTATGGTTTTGGGTGAGGTATTTGGTGGTACGTAACCCTGCTTCAGGATGGGTAGGTATTATTCTGTAGATTGTTGAGGACTGCTGGGAAGGAGAGATTCGGACATTTAAATTTTATGCAAACCTCACGGAGATGTAAACCGTGGTCTACAAAATACGAACAAGCCTTACACTTAAGACATGGAAAAAAGGTCAACAGCTAAATAAAAAGATGTTTTCCCACTTTCGATGAACAAGCGTGAGTTCTTCTAAAGATAAGACAGGTCACATTCATCCATTAATGGTTGGATGATATATACATACTTATGTCCTTCTTTATGAATACAGAAGATACTGGGCTCGGATACGAATTTTTCCGAACGCATGTTTAGCCAGTTCCATTAACTGGCGTGCAACATTTCAGTAAAAAAATCCTTGTACAATAGAACCGAATGAACACAACTTTACTAAAATAATAGTATCAATAGATTGCAACAGCGTTAGACCTCTTTATAAATGAACTGAGTTATGTCGCTATTTGCACTAGAATGAACAGCAGTTGTATTAGGATGAAAATGACACCGATGCTAGAGTATCACTTAATTTCATAACAACCAAGTATATACAGCGTTGAACTAAACTGATATAAACTATAGTGTGCTCGTAGGACTGTAGGCTAATTCGGTATTAGTACATTTAACTTTGCCACTATAATAATAGACCTAGTCCCGAAATAGTAGATTTATCATGATGTGACTACCCAATTTATAAGGCCTTACGTAGAAGTCACATCACTATCTACATTAACTCGTCTTATCGTCAAAATCAGCAATATAACATCTGGCACTACTGGAAAACACACTTGAGCTGAGAAGAGAGTGACATCTTGCACTCTAACTCCAGATACCCTTGGCGGAGTAGTATTGACTACCCACCCGCATTTCCCATCAAACTCCGTCTTGGGTAATCCTTGCAGTCGCCTCCAGTTGGTACTCATTCTCTTAATGTCTGCTTCCAATTCTCGACGCAGTGTGTTCTTTGGACCTTCACTTTTCCGTTCCTCTTCAGGATTCCACATTGAGGTTTGCTTCTTGATGCAGTTCGGTGATTTTTGCAACGCATTTCTTATCGACTTCCAGCGTCTCTTCCTAAGTTCCTCTTCAGATAGTAGCTAGTTTGTTCTCTTCAACAGTAGGTTGTTGCTGATAGTATCCAGTCAATGGACATTGAGTATCGGGCACATGAAATACCCCACCTTTTCTAACGTGTGTGTGATTGATTTGGTGTTCTCTGTGTTGTATTTGGGATCTCGCTTTTCCTCTTGTGTATATCGAGGCCTATTGGTGCGGAGGCTGCTGGCAGACTGGTTGTCTTGACCTGCGTTCGTTAAGGATATCTTAGTCATCTTTTATGTCCAAATCGTCTTGCTGTATGCATGCCGTTCATTGTATTCCGTGCTTCCCTTCGAATATGGAAGCCTTCATAATCCTGTCAACCTTCAGACGAAAGAGGGAGGAGGAGATTAAGCAGTTTCGTCTGACTTCGGAATGCATCTGTTAGCTATCCTTTATGCACGAATTCGCACTGTAGTCCGTCGAATAAATTCTAGATGATGTTGACCATCGTCCCAGGTTCACCATAGTGTCGAAGAACTTTCCATAAAGTCCTCCTACTCACACAGTAAAACATTTTCTCATAGTCAATGAAAATGACGCATAGTGACGAATTCCATTGAACTCAATGTTCAGCGATGATCAGTGGTGTCGCGATTCGATTTGTGCGCGACCAATCATTACGGAATCCATCCCGTTGATCTCGAAGTTAGGCGTCTCTCATTCGGCTCAGCAATATTTCCTGGTAATGACAGTAGTGTGATATCTTTGCAGTTCTCACACTTGCCGAGATCTCCTTTCTTCGGTATCTTTATGAGATATCCTTATTTCCAGTCCATCGGCACTCGATCTTCCTCTTAAATATTCCATAATAGAATGTAGAGCATACTTACATTTACTACTATCTCTGACTTCGATACTTCTGATTTCACACTCTTGATTTGTTTGATGGCCACCCTGAATTCTTCGGCAGTTAGTGGAGTGACATCTAAAGGAAGGTCTGTGTGTGCTGCTTCGATGTCTGGTGGATTCAATAACGCTAGTTTATTTAAGATTACTCAGGTGTTCTATTCACTTGTTCCTTTGTGCTTGAGGTCCAGAATATCCAGACACGTTGAAGATAGTGCTTCTGTGATCCCTTTCCAGTTGCCCGCCATAGCAGTTTCTCTTTCTTTGAGTGCACCTTGTAGAGCTTGGGACCTGTTATCATGTTCATTTTCAGAATGTTCGGTGTTTCTTTAGCTTCAATTTCATCTTGGCAACCAGTCAAAAGCTATGTCGACTCCCTATTTCGTTCTCATATCGTCCACTGACATTCTGAATCTTTCACTGATATAAATATTATTTGGTTCTCTGTTGTGTGATCTGGTGACGTTCATGTTTCTTTGTGCATGCATTTGTGGGAAAATATTGTGCAGCCTATAACCATTTTATTGAATGCACATAAATTTGCAAATCTGCCACCATTCTCGTCCCTTTCTCTCAGTCAATTTTGTCCCACCATATCTTCTTACACGGTGTTGTCTATTCCGACTTTCACGTTTAGGTCTCCTCCCGGGATAGTCAGGCCCTCCTTAAGCACTTCTTTACGATCGCTTGCAGACTGTCGCAAAACTTGATTTTATCGTCGTCAGTGATGTCATTAGTGGGTGTATAATTCCCAATAACATTTATTGTGATTCTTTCCTTCTTTGTATGAAGCATATTTAAATGAATTTATAACTACAAAACTCCTCTCCTATAAGTGCTCTTCGTGCCTTTTTACACAGTATTGGAGTGACTCCCTGAGTGTGTGGAGCATTTTGTTCTTTGTAACCCAAGTACAATAGCATCTCTCCCGAATCTAACCTTTTCTGTTCAGCTTTGATCCAATAGGTTTCACTGATTCTGGAAACCACCAATTTGAATCCCCTTATTTCTGTAGCTATTTGATTGGTACTGTCAGTCCTCCACATTATCCAGACGTCCCATTTACCTGTATTGTTTGTCGTTCTAGTTGTTAGAAGGGATATGGTCCTCGTGATTTCTGAAGAATCTCGGCTCTCGGCGGGAGGTGTCATAATTCTTCTGAATGATGATCCTACAAGTCCTAGGGCAGAATTCGGGTGGTTTATATCGTTAACGCTGGTAAACGTTGCTTTACCAACGTTGCATTCTGTGTGATGGCGTTGTTGACCCAATGTCCAACGCACTCCTTCAACCTGGCTTGGGACCGCCAGTAACCCTAAAAGGGCTACAGGTGCAGTTAAGAGAGTAATGTACTTGATACGGAAATCAAGACGTTTTAAAGAGTACCGCTCCTGGATGAACAATCCATGCCATTTGGATTTCTCGTAACCACGTTCATTATTGTCGACCTACTATTAGTGTTGCAAGTTGAATGCGCTCGACTTCAGAGATCGTGTGGCTAGGAAACAGACATATACAGGGAACCAAAAAAAGAAATATTGGAAAGATGTAGGTATAATTAATTCGAACTATTTACATAACTGAGGGCAAGCTGACCAGTGAAATCAAAGTAATGCACTCCAAAGTGAAATGGTTGGTCAGATTTTGTACTCCGAAATAAGTATAAAGTTGTGTAGATTTAGCATGTCAACATTAAACATCATGGTAACTTTGGGACCAAAAACGACTATAAATATTTGTGTACACTGTGTGCCTGATGTTTATGGTCGAACGAGGTTCACCATTTATGGTAAATCTAAGTAAATATCAGGGCAATTACCTGTTTTCTAGTCATTCATATATTTATGTTGGCATACGCATCACCACCTGCAGTTTGATTATTCACAGGTATATTTACGACGTTGTGAGACTTCAGTTTTCACGTACTACGGCACTTTGAACTCTGAATATCCCTTACCAGTGTTTCTGTCTAACGAACAGGACACCACTTTACAGACTATGCAGAGATCATCTACAGTTGATACGCGAACAGCGAATATAAAATGTGATCCACCGGTATACTTGACAAGTGTTTTGCGACTGAAATTGGACTGGGGGTCGCCATCTATTATTAACGGATTTTCAACAGCTTGATAAAAATTGTTTCACTAGTTTTATTCAAGTTCGGGAAAGAAAATTTCTCAACTTCATGAAGTCAGTCATCATCTGATATCAATGAATTTGATTAACTGATACAATATTCTCTGTTTAGACCCTTCAAATGATGTACATTTAATCTCCATAACTTCGGTGTAGCTGGTAAATATTGGACTGCTGAAAACTTCGGTGCAAAAATATAATAGAACATTGAATCCGTTAAAAACTTGATATTATAGACTGCCACTTGACTCCTTTTGTCAGTGAAGTTATTTTTCCGCCTGCTTATGCAGTATTTGTTTGAAGTTGATTGCTATATATAGTTTTACAATAATTAATCTTAAACTTGTTTGCTTTATTTATTCTCTCTGTTGTGGTAACCGCAGCTTATCATCTAAGTCCTCTGAATTTCTGATGATTGCTCAACAAATTCAGTTATGGAATAGTAGTTGATAAAGGCGCTTTTTATGGGTTATGACCCCCAATAGTTCTAGTTTAATATGATTGTATCCATTGTCAAGCTTGCAACGAACGTTAACTACTTTTCATATTACTTGTAGGATCCAAACCACGTTTGGACTGCTGGACAGCTGCCTGGATAAG